GCACATGTTGTGGAAAGGTCGAATTCTCATCCAAATATATTCTATATGGTTGGCCAATAATTTGTTGAGCTGAATGGTGGTACCTAACAATGAAAATGTATGCTCTCTATTGACCAGGACTATTAGGTTCTAGTAACACTGTATTTTTTTTTTACTCTGTTCACTGTTGACCAGTATTCAAAGTTTGTGATCATGCCCATATTTTTGTATTAAAAGCTGTGAATATCCTTTTAAGACGTTTTGTTTTTCTGGGCAGAGAGACACAACCGGACTTTCTGCAGAAAATGCTGAGCTCAAGATTAGATTGCAAGCCATGGAGCAACAGGCTCAGCTGCGTGATGGTGAGCACTCTGCCCGTACATCTCAACTCTTGATTTTCGTTATTTCCAATAAACTTGTGTTGAAAGGTAGCTCGTTGCTGTAGGCTGGCTGCATACTTTTAGAAGATATCTTATCAACATTTGCTATTTCTTGTATGTAAGACATTGTGTTATCGTCGTTTTTTAATGCAAGTTTTATCATGCGATCTCAATCCTTTCCATTGTTTACTTTGGTAAATCTAATCATTTGTGAGAGCTCCAACACTTAGTTACCGTTTAGCTTCAATAGAAATCTTTCTGCATTACTTCACAATGGAACTAGCTAAAATTTTGCACTGCTGGTAAGTGCCATGCTCTATTGCTGAACATAAACTTATACTGAAAACTGATTCATCATTTTAGAGGATAAAGCTCTGTCATGTAAGGAATATTGAGATTTCTCAAGCTATTAGTATTGACATTTTGAACAACTTGTGAACATCTGAAACACAGCATAGATTAGGATACGTGTTGTTTTTCCTGCTAATAGAAATACCATATTGTTTCGCAGCTCTCAACGATGCACTGAAGCAGGAAGTGGAGAGGCTTAAGATTGCTACGGGTGAGATGGCAAAGTCAAATGATGCGTATAATACAGGAATGCAGCAGGTCCCGTACAGCCCTTCCTTCTTCCAGCTATCTGACCAACACGCAGTTCAGCACCATGCAGGCGTTCAGCAGCTGCCACATCAATTCCAACAACCTCATCCAAGTGTCCCTAGCCACCAGATGCTATCCCACCCAAATTCCCTCTCTGATATGATGCAGCAAGACTCGCTTGGGCGGCTCCAAGGGCTGGACATTGGCAAAGGACCAGTGGCTGTGAAAAATGAGGCAGAGGTAGTGGTGAAGTCTGAGGGTAGTTCAATATCTGCAGGTGAAAGCAACAGCACATTCTAATTATAGACCTACATGTCAACAAATTGCTCCGTCCGTTTAGTTTTCTTTGTTCATAGTCTGACATGCCTTCCTGAACTGCTTCCCTCTCTCCCACTAGTTTTTTTTTTTCAATTCAATTCTTTCAATTTTAGTTACATTGTTTGTTTGTTGATCATCGTGTGGCTGATCATGTAGAGACTTAGATATGCTCGTTTGGAAACATCGGGTTTATTTCTTGTGTGTTGTGTGTTGTTTGATTTAGGGGGTGAGGGGCACTGAGTGGGTTTCCAGTGACTTTTATGTATTCTTTTAGTTATGTTGTAGACTTGTTGTCTTTGAAAATATGTACATTTTTGTGTTACTATGCTAATTCTTAATGGGCCCGTACTATGAAAGTGTGGAACAGTATCAGCTGTTGAGAAAATGGCGTGTTGTTTCAACTATTTTTATCTTTAAAAGTGGCTTATACACTTTCTGAAAACCAAACATGGTCTAAATTGGAAGTACATTATGGCTTAAAAGTGGCTTATACACTTTTTAAAAACCAACATGGTTTAAACTTAAATACATTATAGCTGAATGTGATTAGAACGTACTGGCAATGCGAGCTATGCATGCAAAGTACTCTCTCTCTCTCTCTCTCTCTGGTTCTTTATTGTAGTATAGTTATTTGCTATAGAGAAGCTACAATAAGAAACCACATCATTACTTATCTTTTAGTATCTTCGAAGTTCAGATTATCCTATAGTCTTTTCTACCCTGTATTAGTCTTTTGCTGTCCAGTTTCATATTTTGCAAAGAGAAATATATGACCGATCTTTAAACTTGGCAGTGGTGTATGATCTTTTTGAATGAACCATAGTATGTTCGAACCTCTTTTTGACCAGGTTGATCGCTGACGCGGTAACGATATATGTAAATTTTTACTAAGATGTCATGAGACTTCTAGTAACCAAGTAATTAGATCGGAGCTAGGATTTGTTTTTTCATGGGACGATACTCGTGTCCGTCCCATAAAAAACAAATCTAGCACTGGATATAACATATCTTAGTACAATGAAATATATCTTACTACAACGAATTTGAACAGACTCTTGTTTAGATTCTTGTACTAGGATATGTCACCTATACATTCCTATGTTTTTTTTAACCGATGGAGTAGATTTTTTTTGTCCATTCAAAAAAAAAAAACTAAAGTAGATTTTCTTGTAGTGAGTGCAGTTTTATGTTTGGATCCGCAAATAAAAAATATATAAATATCAGTACTGCTGCCTCTTTCATAGTCTAAAAAAATATACACTTTACACACAATCAATTAGGGGAGAAGATAAGGTACTCGCAAAATCTTTGTGGAGTTAACACTCACCAGATTTGGTCACATTATCTAGTGGAATATACTGAATGGATTTCTGACTTCTAAATTTAGAGTTGAGATTTCCAAACGTTTGGTGTGCAACATAAATGTCTTGACCTATACGTCTTATACTTTTCTTCAAGCTTCTATTAAAGATAAATAGTCTGAAAAAGGCTTCTTTTCCCCGAAAAAAAAACTTACTGAAATTACACTTAAGTTGGCACAAATGTGTTGAACTCATTTTGGCTTGCAAGATCACATATTTTTCAGCATTTTAACATTTCTCATATATTTGTCTTCCACAAGTTTTTTGTTCTTCCATATATATATTTTTTGTCAATGTTGTATTTTGAGAACTGTAGCCATACCCAAAACAACATGCTTTTGTGATCGGACAGAGTACCTATTTTATTGTGCCTTATTAAAAAAATCCACACAATATATAATTCTTGTGCAAATGTTTACATTCCACTTTTAGAACCCTAGTAGAGTTATTAGCAGTCCTATACAATGTTTAGCCTAGTGATCACAATGCCTTACTAGCATTCCAATGTTAAGAGTTTGACTACTTCTTGTGGGATAGATATTTTCGGGGCTAGATTAAAAGAAAGACCCCTTACCACCATGTTGCTTTCAGTGTTACACACCTGCAGGCGCCTTCGAGTTTTTTTCTCGATTCTGCAGCGAGAAGTTTCCTCTACTGCAAATACCTCCTAGGAGGTCCTCCCCTAGGACTGAGTTTTTTTCCCAGTGTCATGCTTAACAACTATAGCTTCTCGACAATGTGTGAGACTCTGAGATTGACCTAGGGGCCTATGGTCTCCACTATTGCTAACATTGAATCTAGATAACAACTAGGAGTATACCCTTTCTTTGGCATTGCTTTCACCCACTCTACTTTCACAACCTTTGTTACACCAATATGATTTAGAAAATTGTTTCATGACTTCACTCTTTTTCCATCATAATCACATAGGTAGCAACACCTATCATTAGTAGCATGGTCCATATTATCATGGCATGAAATCATATGAATAATCCATGTTAAATAAAAAACATATAATTAGAAATACTTTGGACTCAGTTAGCTTTAGTTGCTTTAAAAATTAAATAATTAATATATTTAGAATTAAATATAAATCTATACTAATCTTGGACTCTCAATTTAGTATACGCTATTTCATTAATCCAACTCTAAATTTCAAAATTAATAATTAGCTCGTTATAATTGACATGGACTCTTCTTTTAGTTTAGAATGACATAATCCGAGATATAACCAACATTTATAGTGTTAAAATTTTAATATCTTTAACATCATTATTACTAGCATGTGCAACATACATCGAGTTTCAACTCGTAAAAACTAACTTGTTTCAATGATAGTTTGCCATTTGTCATCGTCACTCTCGCAAGGCGGAAACCCCTAGTAATGCTAGTACGAATTAATTAACAAACACCATGCTTTGTTAGGTGATTCTTAACCCTAGTAAGGCACGGCTTTGGGCGGAATGGTGAAGGAAAGAGAAGATAGAGAAGGGAAGGAGGAGGAAGCCTAAATTGTATTGATTGCGCACCGACGCGCCAATAGGGCTAATGTGGCGCGCATGCGTAATCTTATCCAAACCTTTTGACGTAGTACACCAGTAGAGCTGATGTAGCAGGGTATGTCATAACCTTACTTAAACTTTTTGGATACAACCACATACATAGTGTTTCCATGTTGTTGGCATACTAGTAGGGCTGATGTGGCAGATTGAGCATGCGACAAACTCATCCAAACTTATTGGAGCCATTGCATACACATGGTGGTGCCATGTTGTTGGCGCGCAATTTGAGCTGATGTTGCATGCATATTGTAACCTTACACATACTTTTTAGCGTTGTCGCACATGGAATAGTAATCCATTTTGGTAGTGTAAGTAGGGATGATGTGGCTAGACATGCTTTGACTCTAATTGTCCCTTTTTTTTTGCCGCTATCACATGTGATTTAACGGTATTATTCGGCAATACCAACTTTGTCAGAGTAGTCAAAGCTAGTGTTTTAAAAATAACATGATAAGGTGTTTGTTTTCTCAAATATTATTAAAAGGAGTTTTGGAATAAATAATTCCAAGAAACATATCTACACCGCAAACAACAGTTTTGAAATATTTTTTATGTGATCACACCAAAACTCTTCAGGAATTAAAGGATTCATTTTCTTATATTTGAAACTGAATGCCTATCTATCCATACCAACCATACATCCTCGAATGACCCCCAGTTTTGGCATCCATATCCACTTCAATAAAGGCAGTAGCCATAAAGAATATATATATATATATATATATATATATATATATATATATATATATATATATATATATATATATATATATATATAACTCATAGACAAAAAAAAAGAAAAAGAAAAGGCAGATATCAAAGTACACTGTAGCCCCTACTGATCTATATAAAGGCGAGACAATAGGAGAGAGCATTGGGCCCCAAATCCAGATCTCTTTTGAGTTTTGAGACACAAAACCACAAGAGAAAACTCAAAACTCCACCGAGAAACGGAAGGGATCGATCGAAAATGAAATCGTAAGAAGCAAATAGGTAATAAGATTTTGATCTCTCGCTCTTGCAAAACCCCCTTTGATTTCGCTCTTGTTTGATGATCTGATGATTCCCCAAACATGGCAGCTTGAACCAGTAGTAGTAGTAGTAAGCTAGCGATCGATGGCGGCGTACCGCGGCCGGCGGGACTACGGTGGCGGGTGGTGGTCGGCGTCGGCCGGCTCGGGGAGGATGACGCTGGCGGCGGTGATGGCGACGAGGGCGCCGCGGCCGGCGTTTATCCGGCGGGAGGCGATCCGGGCGGCGGAGGCGGCCGCGGACGAGGTGGTGTTACGGGTGCAACCCACGGAGGAGGCGGAGCGGACGCGGCAGGGCATCATCGGCTACCTCAAGCTGCTCTTCGGCACCGCGCTCGGCTGCGAGGTTCGTTCCCCCCCAATCTCATCGCGAGCGTTTTCTCCGGCCGGTGTCGGCGGCGGCGGAGCTACTCCGACCGCCGCCGCCGCGCCGCATGATCCGCCGCTGATTCACTTTTTTTTTTCCTTTTCCTTTTCGCAAACAAGTGCCGTGCCGCAAACAAAAAAAAAAGTAGAATAAGCACTCGCTTGTGGGATGATGAGTTGATGGGCGCTTCCGTTTCGGATGGGATCGTTTTTTCTTCTTCTCGATCCCAATCGCGGGCGGCGTCTTTGGGGTTTGGTGTTAGATGAGTTGATGAGCGCGTGTGCGCTTAATTAATCGCTTCGCGTCCAGTTTTGCTGATGAGCTCATATGTCGCTTTCGTCTTTGCTCCGTTTCGGTGATTGCGATTAGGACTAACTGGTAGTTAATCGGTTCTTATTCTCGTACCCATCAGCTCATGCATCGAGAGGTCTTTTTCTAATGACATTTGTTTGACTAACCAGTCCTATTCTATTACTCGAGTGGCTCCAAATTGCTGTGCTGAGCGAGTGACATCATGTCGTCATGTCAGTTTTTGTTTTATAAAATAAGAGAAGCTATTATGCTTTGGCCTTTTTGGTGGTGGCTTTTTTTACTAGCTTAGATGATCTAATAACTTTTTACCTTTCACCTTAGCGTAAATACAGGCTTCTTTTCAGCAAACATGAACGGTTAAACCCTTCCTTTTCACTGTGGTTTGTAGCTTTTTATTTATTTATTTTAATGACAGCAAATGTATCATTTCTAGCTCTATTGAAGGGGAAAAGGTTGGCTATCTAGCTTGCTCGTAAATGTGCTTGCATGCATGCAATCGGGTGCGGCGTGGTTTGGTCAACTGTGAGCTCGTTACATTTCTTGGTGACTCATCAGTCATCACATGCTTGGGCTAAGCAAGCAATGGATACTTGTTTATGCCGCCGTAGTGAAATCCTCTCTGCATGTTGTACTTGTAGATACAGCAGGATTTTGATTCTTGAGCCGGTGCAGTCATAGTGATCTTGCACTTTACACTATGTTGCATTCAGCATTCTCTAAGATGGTGTTTCTGTTTGATGATTTCAGGTCTTTGCATTTGGATCTGTTCCTTTGAAGACCTACCTCCCTGATGGGGATATTGACATAACTATACTTGGGAACACAGCTCCGGACAGCACTTTCATTAGTGAGGTTCGTGGTATACTTGAGTTAGAGGAGCAGGAAGATGGTGCTGATGTTGCAATCACGGGTTTGCAATTCATCGATGCTGAGGTGCATTTTTGTATGACATACTTCTGTTGAGTTATTTATTCCAGAGATAGTTTGGGTATAGTATGATATGGTCATATGGAGCAGTAACAATGTTTTTTACATTTTTCCATGTCTTTACATTAGTATCATGCATGATCTCTTAAGAAGGCAGAGATTTAACTATGTAGTTCTTACCTCTACATACGCTACTGATATATTTTTATACACCGTTTTAAAATACTGCTGTTGCTTTTGCATCCAGGTAAAGCTCATCAAATGTGTTATTGACAATATTGTTGTTGACATCTCGTTCAACCAAATTGGTGGGGTGACCACACTCTGTCTTCTTGAGCTGGTAATACATGGAAATCTGAACTATCTGCTCCATTTGGAAGTATTCATCTTGAATACTGCCCAGTAATTTCAACAAATATAGCGTGCAAAATTGATAACAAAGTTGAGTATATATTCCTTCTTCAGGTTGACCATGAAGTTGGGAACGACCATCTGTTCAAGAGGAGCATTATGCTAATCAAGGCTTGGTGTTACCATGAAAGCCACATACTGGGAGCTCATCGTGGACTAATATCTACTTATGCCTTGGAAGTTCTTGTTCTTTACATATTCAATATATTTCACAAATCGCTGCATAGTCCCTTAGAGGTACTTCTTGGTAGCATAACATTTTTCACAATTTTTATCAGCCTCTTTCTGAGATGGGTGGACTAAACTTTTTTTTTTTGGATGAAACACCCAATGGCTTTTCAGCAGTTTAGTAAGGGAATTTACATAGGGACTAAAATTTTTGCATGGTACCTTCTTTGTTCAAACAGGTCTTGTATAAGTTTTTGGAATATTTTAGCAAGTTTGACTGGGATAAGTATTGCATAAGTTTAAATGGTCCTGTTCCTTTGTCATCCTTGCCCAACCTAACTGGTGAGTCATACTCAGGTATTCTTTTGCTTTGTCAAGTGATCGCCAAGCATGTACTTACTGGTCTAATTATTATAATCCCTGTGACAGTTGAACCTTCAGGGATACATGATGAATTACTGTTTGGCCCTAATGGCTCGTGTGATAGACTTATTGTACTTAAAAAGGATTCTGATGGATCTAACATGAATTTTCGCCCGAAGTATCTAAACATAATTGACCCAATAAAGTCCAGTAATAATCTTGGCAGAAGCGTCAGCAAAGGTCAGAATAACCTGGAGGCTACATCATTTTATCTTTCTTTATTCTGTGCGTTGTTTTCCTTTCTATATTCCACCACCACGTTCCTGTATGTGTGCTTACTCATGTAGAACAGGTACTGTGCTTGTGAAATAGGCATATGTTGCTAACTACATACATACATGAGATCTCTTTGAAGGATGGTTCTCATAGGTTTTGTACATCTATGTTTATTTTCTGCAGGAAGCTTTTACCGCATACGAGGTGCTTTCTCATTTGGTGCACAAAACCTGAGTCAAATTCTCATGTTACCTACTGACCTTATTCCTACTGAAATCTTTGGATTTTTTGTGAACACCTTGAAGAGCCATGGAAGAGGAAAAAGATCAGACGTTGGCAATAATGGTTCATTCGAACCGTCACTTGATCCTGAAAGTGAATATGCACTTTGGGAAGATTCATCAGACGTAAAAGAATCTGATATGAGTGAAGATGAAAATAGAAGTCCTGATCTGCAGAGGACTTCAGATAGTTGTTTTTACAACAAGGTCTCAGGAGACAGTTTCAGTAGCCACTCACCATTTTCCCAAGAGAAGGGCAACAACATGAAACGACACTACGACTGTGCAAGAGAGGAATATTTACCCCTCGGTAGATCATCTATGGAGCAACATATTTATGCGAACAACCAGTCACAAATATTGACTCCCTCTACTCGTATAAATACTTTGGATATTTCCAATTCTTGCCCAGCTGAGACAAATAGGAGCGATCTCCATGAAGAAAAACTGCCACTTTCTCATTTTTCACCATCAAATTTGTTGGATCTATCAGGAGATCTGGATTTGCACTTAGAATGCCTTCGAAAAGTTCAGTACCACCTGGAGTCCATGTTTGATTGGTTGATTCAGGAAGCAAGTTTTTCTGGCGCAGTAAACAATGACTCCTTCAATATTCCAACCCAGAGCAGCTTCTCAAATACTGATGGAAGGGCTCTAAGGCCATTGTTAGTTTCATCTGCTTATACCCAGAGAGGGAACCTATCTCGAGTTTACTGTTCGCATAGCACAAGAGAAATTTCTCAGAAATCAGTATCACGCACTGAGGTCCAAGTGAATGCGGTTTGTCAGCAGAATGTGGCATTGCCCTCTGGAACAAATAACAGATTGGCGTTGCCTCCATCTCCTGTCGCTGATTCTGAGAAATCTCCAGTTTCTCCGCTCCATAACACAGTGGATATTGTTGGGACGCATGGAGCTGGCATGCATACTCTCAATGTAAGAACCTTTGCAGCTTTGTTCATTAACTTTTTGTTGTCCACTGTTTCGAATTAGTTTCGCTTTCAATAAATTGACTCGATTCTTGTTTGTCCATATGCACAGAATGTATCATTGCTTTCTGGAACAGATGTATTATCCAATGCATTCGCACAGCTTTCATTTCCTGCAGTTAATTCAGTTGACTATAAATATTGTTGGTCTTATACCACAACAAATAATCGTGCGACATCAAGTCAAAAAACAAACCGTGGGAAGGGTGGAACTGGCACATACATTCCCAGAATGGTGAGGACTCTTGGGACATAATCTACTCCCTCTGTTCCAAATATAAGCGTTTCTATGCATTTTATCTGGAGTTCTGGATGGAAGGATGTCTAGATACATTTTGGAAAACGTGCAGAAATGCTTATATTATGGAATGGAGGTATTATTTCTTGTGCATGCTCCATGTTTTTAAACTTTGAAAAGTTTTTGTGTTGTGTAGATCAACTAATTATTTTATTGTTCCTTATGCTTCAATATTGGCATGGAAAGCTGGAAATGAGCTTTTGTTTAGGCTACACACGGAACCTCCATAGTAGTATAAATTATAAATCATGTATTGGTGCATTCTTAATAAATCCATGTAATTTAGCTATTCACTTGTTACAGAATTATCATACTTACAAGGAACGCATATTCTATTATAATGGAAGAAGCCAGAGAGAAATGTTACCAGATCGGCCGTTCAAGATTAAAACTAACCCAATTGGCTACATTCGCCGGCGCAGTTCGCCTGAAATGGGATGTTCAAGTTCAAGCAATGGCGGTATTACATTTGAAAATACAAGTCATACACCATCAAAGAAACAGGATCACTCAAGCAAAAGTACAGTTACAGCTGAAGGAAGTTTTGCTCAGGAGAGAGCACCAGCAAGCCAGGAATGGAATATTTGCACAAACATGAACATGGTTGACAGCCAAAAACCTGGTAATGATGAAGACCTTGTCAGACCAAACAATGAATCAAGGGAACTACGGACACTCCATCCATCAGAAGTGCAAAACAGGGAAATGACGGCATCATCATCATCTAGTGTGGAGCTTCCTCATTGTGTTGGCAATGGTCTCCAAGAATCCAATACATCTCAGCCATCCTCACCTGCAACTGAGGCTTCTTCTCCAATCAAAACATCACTAGTCGAAGGTCTTGAGTTTGGATCTTTCGAACCTATCTTAGGTACTAGTTTTCTCTGCGAAAAGTTTTGCGAAGAATTCCCACCTCTGCCTGCTAGAAAGTGGCCTGCAGTAGCCGCTGTTTCAACGCCTGTGACTGTGAGCTCTTCGCCTGCTGAAACAGGAAGCAAGTACGTGATTCTTACATTGCGATCTCGTGTTCTTTTTGCATTTCATGATACAGTCGTGCTGTTGCATTTTTTTTCTAATTAAATTGCATCATGTCGTGAATAAATCTGTAGGCCAGAAGGGCTCTACCAACTGAGAGATGAAGCTGACTTCCCTCCTCTCAAGGCTGGTGCTCGCAATGGATTTAATCATAGAGTTGGAAGATGAAGGATGCTTTACTAGCTTGCTTCAGGAGAAGTCTGATATCGTACAAAGCTTGGATGCTATTCCAATCGTAATAGCATGCTTTCAGCTGTCTGAAACTCCAATAATCCTTAGTGATACAATCATTAGGTCTTTAAGTGTTAACTCCTGGTAGGAGCCTTAATTGTAAAAGAACTAGCTCATCTTTTTAGCTTTTATAACCCGAAAAAAATGTTTAAAAAATAAAATAATACGAAAATGCTCACAAAAAAAGAACTACCACCTTTGTAGATCCGTCGTTTTAACTTTTTAAGATTAAGAGAAGAAAAATGATGGAGTACAGTGTTTAGGTGCACCTATTGTTTCTTTGTGCTTCATCGTGATATATTTACCCTTTGCATGGTATTTGTTGAAGTACTACCTCCTTCACCAAATGTTTGATGTTTGAACTTACCAAAGTAAAAAAAAATAAAAAGAAAAAAGAAAAGAGGAGGGAGTATAATTTTCTCTGATACCTTTTACTTTGTACAGTGTACTGACTAGTGAACCGATAGTTGTATACAAGTCAATATGGCACAGCGATTATAAGTGCCTCACTTCTACTCCATCCGCATGAGGCTGATCCCTAGACAAGAGGCAGAATGTGGTGGAAGTAAATTATCCATCTTGCATTACATCCTGCAGTGAATTCTTCAATGCGTCTTGAGATTTCTTTCCAGTGGAGTCTCTCAGATGCTGAAGTTTGTCACCTAACAGTCCAGCTTTGAACACAACAAAAGCCTGCTTCTTCATTTCCCAAATCAGAGAAGAAAAACAGAGAAAAAGAAGCAGTGCACAGAATGGCGAAGTTCTGCAGAGGCCGGTTTAATGCATTATTAAAAAAAAAAGCCAGCAGAATACAATTCCCTTAAGATAAAACAAAATCAGCCGGACACATTTAGGTCCTCTTTTTCAGGGATGAAAAGTTTTGATATGTCACATCAGATATACGGACACATATTTAAAGTATTAATTGTAGTCTAATGACAAAAACAAATTATAGATTTCGTTTGTAAACTGCGAGACGAATTTATTAAGCCTAATTAATTCGTCATTAGCAAATGTTTACTGTAGCACTACATTATCCAATCATGACGTAATTAGGCTTAAAATATTTGTCTCGCAATTTACACACAATCTGTGTAATTAGTGTTTTTTTTGTCTATATTTAATACTTCATGCATGTGTTTAAACATTTGATATGACAATGTGAAAAGTTTTTTTTTTTTTGCATGGAAACTAAACAGGGCCTTAGCTTCCGTACATTTTCTACACTATCTATTTTCATAGCCACTACGAGTGAGGTGAACAAGATATGTTATTTGTTTATTTATTGAAACTAAGTTTAAAAAACATTTTTTTTTAGTTTATGTACCATCTCATTTTCACAGCCGCTGGATGGACAGAATAAATTATTTATTTGCATCCTGTACAGCAAACGGCGTCAAGCCACCAATAAATTTACACCACAAGCTTGCAAGAAAAACCTTACGTGGTTTGCTTGCACGAACTTCCCCATAGAAACGGGAAAACTGCATTCTCCACAAAGCAAATTTCAGTAGACCTGTTGCCTCGACCAAAATGGTGGACGATTCATCAGGTCTAATTTGAGTAGATACTGGGTGCTTCCAGGAAAGCATCAGGCATGATGCTCTTCATGATCAACTTGATGCAACGGTGACGGCGGGAGTGAAAATATACATTTTGCAGTCATGCACGTCAACTTGCGCCCCAAAAGTTCCAACAACGTTCTCTGATAGAGTTTCATGCTGCAAAAATGCAGATTCAGAATGCAGTTAACATATAATAAACAAAATGCTGACAAGATAAGGTTTTGACAATGGAATCTTGATAAACTTTGATCTGTCTTTGTTGCGTCAGTAGATACTACACTATGCTCATGCTTATTCTATGATGTTAATTTGCTACACGTTTTGGTGGTTGGATGAAAAGGATATATGTGGTGACCATTTTTCTCCTCTCTCTCCCCCAAATAGTTTAATATGATAAGCAACACCATTTTAACCCCTTTGTTTTCTCCACTCCTCTCTTGTTTCAACGGGAAACAGAGGTAAATTGAACCACTTAAACCGGAAATTATTTAACTTACCTTCCACAGATCTCTAACAGAATAGGGAGATGAACCATCAAGGCCTACAGATGGCAATTTTACTATAATATTGGCAGACTCCTCACAGCGGTTCCATAAAACAACAGCCAGACGGTTACCAGAGAGGGGGCCAGCCCACACCTGCAAACATGATATATCAGTGAAAAGGAATGCCCTGATGTGAAGAACTTCACAAACATGCATTTGTAATAGTTTAATTCCACACAGCAGCTAATCTATTCTAAAAGCTCAAGCTGTTAGTGTGGTTGCATGCGTTATTCATGCTCCGACGGCCCAAATGAGTATATGATTAAGATGGCAGAACTGCAGTTCCAACTGAACAATGCCCGAACACTACAAGTCTATTATCTACCCCAAGTAGCTTCTAACTAGCATACAAGGCCCTGTCTGAACAGGATTCTCAAAGGGATGTCATAGGAAAACCCATCACCAGCTAGTGGGGTGGCTGCTACCGTCCCTATGAAATTTCGATGGACTCTAGAGTTAGGCAAGTTGGGGAAATATCAAATATGTTACAAAAACATGCTCTGTTCAATATCAAATTAAAACAGTTGCTATACTATTGTGTGTGTAAATTGCTCATGCACAAAACTGTTATAGTTAGTGTCTTGCAATTTTGGAAAAGAAAAAAAGGACTGTGGAAGTAAACCATCAGGGCAGACCACACAGTAATAATTATATTTGCATACTATAATTACTAATGGACATGTATATCACCTCTTGGCATCCATTTTTCCCTTGACCTAAAATTCTTCTTCCTTGAACTCCAAGAGGATCTGCAGAAAACGAATGAGTGCAGTTTAACGTGTTAATTAATTATTACAACAGCATATACAAGGAGAAAAAAAAATTTGTTCGAATAAAATAATCTACTCTAAAACAGATATTTACAATATGTAGCGTAATTAGTTCTGTACAGTTTTTTCCTGTCCTCAGGTGGAACAAAGCAAGGGAAACTTGCGAGCTCTCAGGTCCATTGGTTCAAGCATCTTGTTCAAAAAATATACATGATATGCAGAAAACTGAATTCCAAAGAGCAACTATGATGCTAATTGTCTTAGTGCATGATGAAAGTTTTGCTGCTGAAATCAAATTCGCTTTCAAAGTTTTAATGCCATTCATGATCTTTGAGAACAATGACATTGTAGAAATAATAGAATGGTTTAATAGAAAACTATCTTGAAGTTTACACATGTCAACATAATAGAGAGCGCAAACAAAAAAGATTCAGTGTAATACCTTGATTTACTTGAATTACTTCTTTGTTGCTCAATATTTCCATTGTTTCTTTAGTCATGTTTCTGACATCGCAACCAATTAAGAGAGGGGCCTGAAATATAATAATGCAGGAGCCAAATAATTTTAAATCACATCATTTGCGCTACACTTCTATCCACAGAACGGTACTGAAATTCCCCTAACGTCAAGTAGCATAAAATATAAGGACAAGGAAAAACACTTGAAAAGAAACTAACTCCTTTTTTTCTTTTCAGAAACCCTTTTCACTACTTGATCCAGTAACAGCACAAATAAGTTGGAGTCATGAAGACCAAATGCAACATACTGGAATATAGGTGCCATCCTAGTGATTACAGAATGCACCCAATGAGTACTTGCCTTCATAAGTGCCCAGATGCTAAAATGTGCACGATACTCTGCAAAGGTCATGCCACCATTCCCGACTTCCAGCATATCCGGGTCTGATAAAAAAAAGTCAGTTGAATGATAGTACGAGTGTTCTCTTGCAGTATGAAAACTGGTGGAAAACTTGTGCTCTTTGCTACACAGTTACCATTCCATCCACCGGGTCCAGCATATGATGCCCACTTGTTATTCTTATCAGCAATATCAGTCATGCTTGTTTTCAAACAGAAGATCACAAGTCAGCTTCACATCAATGTATAGATAGGTTTCACCCAACCCCAAACACTTAACCCGAAATACATGAATCACCTTTTCCATGTATCCTGTATGTCATCTGTTGTGCGCCAACTGTTACCAACTTTGCCAGCCCATAAGGCTGGATCATCCTGGCCCCTAAGAGAAAAAATAGTATAATAGCACATCATATACATCTAAACCAACATGATATACAACCCCTAGCTTCTCTCGTATGATAAAGGTGCATACCATTCACATAGAGAGTAGAATATTTGGCGTCCAGTTGAATTTAAAGCATCACGCATTGGAGGATACCTAAGAATATGACACCATGAAACGAATTTTAATGCGTTATATTCAGTTCACATAACTGTACTCATGAAAGAGGCTTACACAATGAGAAGACATTTAGTTTACCTGTCCTTGGGCTTTATTCCCAAATTGTAGCAGTTGTCATACTTCAGGTAATCAACACCCTGGAGAAATCAATTTCCATAGAATATGCTCTTAAATCTTAACATGTTCATACTGTGTAGTATTTCAAATCAATAATTTATTGCTTCTAGCTCATACCCATGAAGCAAATATTGCAGCATCGTCCTTTTCATGATGGAGCGATCCAGGTCGAACTTGACATGTAAAAATCCTGAAAGCTTTAGCTTGTTATAATTTTTAGTTATTTGGAATATTATTCTTCATGGTGTATTAACAACAAAAACCATCTATAGAGGGCTGCTTACTCACCCAGCATCAGAGTAGATACCAAGCTTTAGACCTTTCCCATGCACATAGTCCGCAAGATCTTTGATGCCAGAAGGGAAAGTTTTTGGGTCAGGTAGCAATTGATCCTACATGCACAGGAAACAATGTATTAAAAACTAAAGAGGTAAACTTGTAATGCATGTATTTATATGGTCAGTAATGCATTTGTATTTGTATCAGTACAACCAAAGAAGACTGTTCTGAGTGACGTCCTGTCCAAGCTCGTTAAAATTATCAAAAGACCAAAGCATTGACATATTTAGGAACAAAGTAATTGGAGAAATCACAGCCTAAATTAGCAAATGAAATGCATTACCTTTTTTCCTCTTTTTACATTGGACCAACAATCATCTGAAAAGGCAATGAACAGCAAGTAAATTAGAGGATAACAACATACTTGCTTCAGCCAGTAATATATAACTCTTGAGCCAAGTAATGTACCGATATTTACATAGTTGTAGCCCAAATCAGCCAGCCCCGTCGAGACTAGTGCGTCAGCTGTTTCATCAGATAGAAGAAAACTTTCATTAGAAGTACATGGCTAACCAAACTCTACTCTTAAGTCTGAACAACCGAAAACGCATTAGGAACTTGTCAATTGTTATAACCAAACACGACATGAGAACATGTCACTTGAACAGTGGGTAGTAACAATTCCATTCCAATATCCAACCTCAACAGTGTTCTATTCTATCATTGCACTCTGAGCAGTGGAAGTGTGGAAGATACAACACTAATTAAGGAAATATGTATCCTCCAATTTCCAGTTCAGACAAGGACTTCCACCATATCAGGGGAGGAAAAAAAAAACTGCGGTGCAGAATTGCAGATTTAACCATGAAAATTAAGGGGATCCCGCGGCTGAACCTGTGTCGCGGATGACCGTCTCGTTGATGTTGCAGGCGAAGAAATTCCAGCTGTTCCATCTGCGCCACAGAACCACAGGCACTAATAAATCACGCACTCAACGCAGTGAACGACGATGAATTACACGCGCACGCAACAGGCGCTGGACAAAGCAGCAGCGGAAGGGGAACGAAGCGAAGAGGCGAAGCATTGGGCCGATTGATTGAACTTACCCCATCTGCGGGGTGAGGGCGAGGCCGTTGTTGAGCTGCAGCTTGCCGTAGTTGGAGGTGTCGTAGAGGCGGCGCAGCGCGGCGGTGGGGAGGGGCTCGATCCGCATTCGGCTCGCCGCCGCGGCGACCGCCGGCGGCGAGACGACGAGGGCCACCAGTAGGAGGAACGGGAGGCGGAGGCGCGGCGCCTCCATCCCGCTTCGCGAAGCTTACCGAACACTCCGATTCCTTCCTCCCTCCCTCCGAATTCCGAGCAGCCGTCGTTGAAACAGCTGTGCAGGCGATTTCCGAGCTCGTTACGGCTGCCGTTTATATGCGGCGAAATTGTGGGGCCCACATGTCAGTGTTCTCTGCACTCTTCTGGGACCCACCTGCCATTGACCGTACCATAATGCTGCTTTATCCAGTCACAAGATTATGTGTTTTGACGACGAAAAATAATAGTTTCTCGAGGGGACAATTTTATAAGTACACGTGGCAGCAGAGTCCAGAGAACCCTCCTATTGGTGTCGACATGGATGTTGCCAACACGACACATCAGAATGTCGTCGTCAGCTATAACAAGATAAGTAATTAGCGCATTGATTAATTAAACTTTAAAATAGTTTAATATTTACTTTTTAAGTAATTGTTCTGTAACAAAAACTTTTAGAAAGCGCATAGCATTTCGAGAAACTTACGTACGAGAGAAAAAAAAAAGAGAAATCTACCGCTGTCGAATGCAATCTAAGCACTGATTTTATTTGTTTGGTCGATGTGTAAGCAACACACACGTCGCGTGACTTGCGCGACCGTAGCGTTTCAGGTCAGAGATCAGTCGCAGTTGCAATCGTAAAATCTATTGCTAATCGCGCTATCAGCGATCAGGTGGGCGGATTACGATTACGGAAGGATACGTGAAGCGGGCACGCGAACTGAAAGCGACGGGCATCGCAGTCGCAGCATCCGGGGACGCATTGGGGCGTGACGTGCCAGGCAGCCCAACCATGAACCAACCAACTACACTCGTGGGTGCACAGTAGTCTACCTTTGTGCATCGACCATATTTCGGGGAATATTCTTAAGTTTATGCCCTGTACGTTAAAAACTCTTCTTTGTTTTCGGGTACTAAGGTTGGGACTGAACTTTGCTAATGGGCCTAATGCACCTACGAGGGTGTAGTTTAGATAAAAGTCCCCAGTTGGGCTGCATTTGGTTTGGATTTTCATTTTTTTGCTTAGTAGATAAAAGACCTTGAGGTTTGCATTGCACTTAACACCCTGTTTAGATCCCACCTCAAAATTTTTCACCCTATCACATCGAACGTTTGAACACTTGCATGAAGTATTAATATAGTCTAAAAAATAACTAATTTCACAGATTGCGTGTAAATTACGAGATTAATCTTTTAAGCCTAATTGCTCCATGATTTGATAATGTGATGCTACAGTAAACATTTGTTAATGACTGATTAATTAGGCTTAATAAATTTGTCTCGCGGTTTGTAGGCGGATTTTGTAATTTGTTTTGTTATTAGATTGTGTTTAATACTTTAAATACGTATACGTATATCCGATGTAACACGCCAAAAAAATTTACCATTGGATCCAAACACCCCCTAAGCGAAGTGAGAGCAAACATGGTTTTGGGGTAAAATGAGTATGGGCCACCGTTGGGTTAAGTTATGGGCCTTGCAAACTCATGGAGACTTTGTGAGAAAATAAATAAGTCCACTTGACTCCCTCATTATTGGTATAATATGATTCGTATCCCTCAACCGTAATACCAAATATCTTAACTCCCTAACTATTAAATCGGTGCAAAATAACTCTCTTTAATTTTGATAGTGGGGGGATTTAAATATCTAGTATTACGATTGAAGGATACGAATTAAATTGGATCTATATTTTAAGAGAGTCAAAGGGCATATTCGGCAGTTGCTTTAATGCCACGCTCTGACACTAACTATGTGCAACCGTAGCTGCAGCTGGCCCTGCCAAACGCTCTCAAAGTGGACTTAGGGTGTGTTTGAGGAGTAGATTGGGGAGATTAGAAAGATACGCAAAACGAGGTGAGCCATTTGCGCATGATTAATTGAGTATTAACTATTTTAAATTTCAAAAATAGATTAATATGACTTTTTAAAGCAACTTTCCTATAGAATTTTTTTGCAAAAAACACACCGTTTAGTAGTTTGGGAAGTGTGCGCGCGGAAAACGAGGTGTTTTCTCATCCTATATCATACAAACGAACGCAGCCTTATTATATGAGAACGAAACAAAGGCCCATATTGTTTACGACATGAACGATTCGCTGTACAGCCCACTCTACCTCGTTACCACTTACCTACTTGCCTCTCCTGATACAAAAATCTACTCAGATTTTTAAAATAAATATTTAAAAGGGACATATATAATTATATCAGTGTTTTGTTCTGCATAGTTCACCGGTCTAACTCATTCAATGGAAATTTTAATAATACATTTCTTAAAGGTGAACAGCACCTCAATGGAACATCTCAAACGCTTGTGTATTCTGAATTTCTGACGAAAGAGTTGCAGAGTACTTGACCTTTGTTCATCCCCAGTTCGCCCATGCCTATGTTGGTTTCACGTCTTCACGATCATCACGAGTGGCTGCGCAGGACTGCGAGGAATCTGACGGGGCTCTGAAAAATCAGATGGCGAAACCTTTGTTCGTTGCTGTTGGTCTCTTCCCAACTGCAGTTCTCGCATCCATGACCATACTGATTACTGAAACACACATTGCCCTGCCTGCCTTTCTCTTTCTCCACCCACGTAAGCAATGCAGCATTGCCTCGGCGTCGATCGTCTGAGATGCCGATTGATTGCAACTTTCAACTGAACAACTTATTATAGCACGTTTGTACTATGCACCGCACTAGCAGAAGAATTTAATTCTTGAAACTTTAGGTTACAGACACTTTTGGCTCATAAATTTCTCCCAAGAATCCATTGAGTACATTCGATTGCCTTTCAGCGAAAAAGAAAGAAAAGCTCTCAATATCTATTGAATTTTGACAAGTGGATGTCCCAAAGAAACAACAAGAACACATTCTTGGTGATTGCATCCACTGGGCACAAGAAAGGCAGGGTCCCATTGGCAGGAGGATCCATCTTTTCTCCTTTCTGCAACTGGGCTCACCTCAGCTCCGAGGAGCCCACGGGTAGGTACATCCATCATCCATGCAGTTAGGCCTGTGCCCTGGAAAACTGACAGATCAATCTTTTACATGGCAGGGAGGTTTTTCTGGGCGTCTGTTTCTTCAGCCTATTTCTGCATACCCTGGCCCCCTGCCCAGAATCGTTGCACCCTTGTGGAATGGAGTGTAGCAATGGTGAAAACTGAAATTGAACAGTGGTATGTCACAGTGCGCCTCTGGCCTCTGCTGCTGCTCTGCATTCTAGTGGCAGTGAAGTGAGGTGAGGTGTGTAGTGAAGCACGATTACTGAAGGACTGACGCTAAGGTTGACAACGATGTTTGTCCTGTTGGATTCTTGGTGGATTACTGTTTGGTTCACCTCTCAGATGTTTAACAGCCAAAATAATAATAATAAAAAAGTCTACTCCTACTCCTACGTGCAAGAATTTTTGACTTAAGCAGAAAATGGCCCGTGAGATAGCGAGAGTAGACGTGACTATCGGTAAGTACACAGAAATTTGTGCCATGATCCTATGCGTACGGTAGTCATTTAGTACGAGTAAACAAAAAATAATACTCATACTTAAAAAAAAATAAATGATGAGCCTTTCCAGAGGAGAGGAGAGAAAAACTCTGACGCGAATAGGCCTACTCCAATCTGTAAAGACAGCATGCGTCGATTCCCTTCTGAAAAATAAAGCGCGATGGATGCCCCCGTGACACACGCGCGTGCGCTCATCCATCCTTCACCTTTGCATCCGCAGCGAAATCACGGCGAAGCATAGCACGATCGATCGAGCAAACGAATCAAACATTTTTTATCAAACCATCTTGCGATCGATTTGTGCAACGACTATCATCTTAATCATACCGAATTCGATCATCACATGCATGGTCACTCTGTACAGGGCACGTAGCAATTAATCTTGCGTTTTGCTGGTACGTACGTAGTAATAATCTCGATCACTTGATCGGGCTAGGTGATGGCGGCGCCGCCGTGGCGGCGGCGGCGTGCAGCCACGCGCGGCGGAACGCGCCGACGATGGCGCGGTGGTGCTCGGCGGCGTTGAGGGCGAGGTAGCAAGCGAGAAGCTCCTCGAGGTCCCGCGGCGAGCGCACGTCGTTCGCGGCGATCATCTCCGCCATGCTCTCCAGGAAGTCCTCCTCCGGGTCGGCCGACTCCTTCACCACCACCAGGCTCTCGTACAGCCACCGGCACCGCCGCCGCCGCCGCCGCCTCCGGCTGGTAGCGTCGGCCGGCAGCGCCGCCACCCGCCCCTTCCGCCTCCCGCTGCTCGGCTTCGCGTGGTGGACGAACCGCCGCACCCTTGACGTCGGCGACGCGGCCGCGCTCGTGCCGCTGTCCAGCGCGTCACCTTCGTCGCCGTCGTTCTTGGCGGTGGCGCGCTTGGTGAGGATGGGCCGCAGCTTGAGCTCCGGCATCGCCTTCATCCCGTCGAACTGGCCGCGCGCCGGCGACGCCGAGACGGCGACGACGTCGAACACGATGTCGTCGTTCGGCTGCGGGCTCCGCGGGAACCGGGTGTCCCGGAGCTTGTGGTTGTCCGTGGCGGCGCGAGCCGGAGGGAGACAGCGTTCTCTGCTCGCGAAGTAGTACGACGCCCTGTTCGGCGACGGCGAGCACGGCGCCGCTGCCGCCGCCGCCGCCATGGGAGGTTGCTGCTTCTTGCTCGCCGCTTCGACGACGTCGGGTTCTCCTCTCGCCGCGCTTCTCCTCCGCCGCAGCTTGTGGAACAGCCACGAGCTCAGCAATGGCATCGTAGCTGCTGCTGCTGCAGTGAGGCAGTGTGGTCGTGGACTGTGGGGGTGAGCTGAGCTGCAGTGCGTGCAGCGAGGTTGCACCCCACTTTTTATTACGGAAAAGTTTGCCGCGAGTGGCAGCAAAGAGATGTTGCGGTGGAAAAGCGGCAGCGGCATCTTGCAAGAATCTGACATACTATACAAATTCTCTCTTATATTTGTGCTTCTGAATCATAATCAATACGCTTGTAAATTGTTGGAACGAAAAAGATATGTTGGTGCATGATACAGAGAGTTCAGAGTTCAGACTGCTCTCCAGAGCAAAATAAGAAATGTAGAAATTCAAGTGTTTGTCGACGCTTTGTCCACCGATGAAACACCAATTTTACTTTGACAGAGATTCATCCTTATTAGTAGATTGCATGCAACACGCATGGCACAAAGTCAAAATGTTTGAAATGGAGGAAGTGTGCGTAAAAGCTGTGGGGGACTCTCTGACGGCAAGGGAAAGGATGCAGAGTTGCAGACCAAGATGGTGATTCAGCTTTTCGCTAGTGGCATTGTGAGACAAGCCTGCCGTAACAGGCGTTTCTCATTGTCTCTAATGGCCATCGCTGCAGCTAAACCTCGAGTCCAGGACGATTTGGCACATGAGCTGCAGCAGGAGAGCCCAACTGCATGCTGGTGCTTATGGAGTGTGAACCAAGTCATTTCCAGAGGCAGCTGCTAGGTAGAGCTATGATATGGTCCATGGAGGGTTTGGAAGGGGACATGAACATTTCAAAAGGTCAAAATTTGGTCTACCACGAATCACTGTATTGAAATCAAAAGTGATTTGCTTTGATCCTCATGTGGGGGCAACTTAATTAATGCAATTGGCTTACGGTTGTATTAGAGACCACGTAGTGCAGGTGCAGCCCAAATGGACTCTACAGTTGCATTTGATTTGTAGCTTGCTTCCATCTTACAGAAGACAACATGCATGTACGCAGGAGAAAAATCCAACTACAAATGTACTATCATTCGGTTTTTCAGAACGTATTTGAACTCTCAAAAACAGTATACCACCCTTTCTTTTAAAAAAAATATAATACAAACACAAAGCGCTCACAACACGTGTATGCTTAACTCTATAGACGTATACACATACACTCTATCTTTATAAACACCTCCAAAAAAAATATACCGTCATATCTTAAAATTAATGAAGACATCGTGAATGTCTCGCTATCCAACGGGTACAGGGGCGAAGCCAAAAATTACATAAGACTAGAGCTAAGATAAAGCTCGACTAATGGAGTATTAGTTTTCTGAAAAAAAATTACATAGTGAATCAATAAAATTTAAGCAAGTTTTTGGATGTATGCCTTGCCCTAGGCCTGCCCCCACCCCTGAACGGATATGTCACCTGTACGGCTGTACAATTATAAATTGGTACTCTAAATTAGTACGGGAAAGGTTCACAAAACCAAACTGTCGTAAAAAAATGCCCTAGCTAGGAGGATTTTTATGGGTTTTACGAAAATCGTTTGAAACCCATCGACTACCGACTTAAAAAACTCTAATTTATTTTGGAACTTGATCGGTTTACTGAACAGTTTGTGATCTTGAGCTGGCCCGAAACCTCAATTTCTATACGAAAACCGAGTGATTTCCGTCTGTTTTTTATACCTTGGCACGGGGTGATCCCCGAAAAATCCACATAAACAATCAGCTATACTGAGGTTGATCATGCGGTGGAAGAGACAAATGCATCTTTTTTTTCATCACTGTAGTGATTCCAGAACATGTACTGCAACAGTAACAGATTATTTCGAACCTGCATTTTTTTTACACAAAACCTACAGAGGCTGTTGTTCTCGATGTCTACAATGCACCAGTATTGAACTGCTCATCAGATGTTCAGACATGTGTGCACGCACAGCAACCGGTAGACATTTTTTTTACTGCAGACTAGCAGCTAGCTAGCTCCAGTGACGAACTAGAACTACTGCTCACCCACGCTTGTCTGCAATGGATCAGTAAAACAGCTACAGTACTATAGGAGCTCCTATGCAGCGAACAGTTCACGTACTATAAAATTCACGATTCTCGAATATATAATCTGTATACATGTGTCTTCTAAATTCTTCTGCTGAAGCCTGAAGAGATGATAGTTTTGCGAGAGCCAAGATTAGCAGATAGAGGAATCGTCCGTTCTTAATTTCTCGATCGCATCCTGAGCAGGATGAGCAGGAAGGCATATGATCGCGCTGATGATTTCGCTGCGCGTTTTGCCGGGGCGACGACGACGAGGCTCACCTCACGGGGGGATCATTCTGCCAGTGGTTGCGGGGACACGGCGAGCTTATTTCAAGAGACTGGACAAGCGCGGATCAGTGCTGCTCGTACCAAAGTTTAGTTCAATTCGTGCGGTGCCACCATTCCATGCCAAAATTGTCGATTACAAGTTGCCGGGAGCAAGCAACCACCGCCCTAGCGAGTTAGCTTCGATACCTAGCTATCTATGATCGATGAGATCAAAACTCATAGTAGTAGCATGGGGAACTAGTAGAAACAAAAACAGCACCCTAAATTCCTCTATCGGAGCGACAGAGTACAGATGCAGAGTTTGGAGGTATGCAAGTAGATAATGAATAATTGAGATGGATTGATAGTGTTCGGGCGCGGCCCGTTAGGTAGGAAGAGATAAATAATTGTTGGAGTAGGTATAGTTGAAAGACCCGTGCCATGATTGTAGCTTTGCAAATCTTACTCGAACGCCATCATCATTATCCTTTCTAGTGTATATAACTATAGTGTGTGTACCCAGCGGCCGGATGGATGACAAGTTTATATGCCAAAGTAAAGTTTAAGACTTTCAGTCATGGCCGGGGTTTATCTATCATTGGTGGTAATCATGCAGCGGATAATCTTATACTCTCCTACATGCATATATTATCTTGCTGACACACACCACCAGCTATAGCACTACGTAGTGCTAGCTTTCTGCTGGTTTGATCGATTAGTAATACGTAGCAGAAATCCAGCTAGCACTGTTACTACTTGAATCTTAATAAGCAGTAGTAATTCAATCGATTTCTGCTGGATTGATCGATTGGATGTGTAACAATGCAAGACCTGGGTTCCTGAAGGCGACTTAAAAAGGAAAACAGAGTCTACCTTTGCGGCGGCGTGTGGTGCATTTCTCGTACTACATGGTACTTGTACAGTGGTGATGATGTGCTGATCGATGGAGTTAGGAGTAAATTTGTGGACAGACGATGCAATAGTACATGTGCAGGGCCATGAGTTAATGTCGACATTGAATTCCCTGTCCAACGACGGTCGGCCGAAGAAGAACACTGTCTGTCCAGCCATGCACATGTGACTACATACATATATCAATCTTCTGTGTACATGTGTACACACAGTACACGCGTATACGAGTGTATGTGTGTAGGAACGTATCTATACGTGTCGTGTCGAGTGATATACGTGTGCTGGTTAATTGGCTGGTCAGGAAATATCGTGCGTACGCATGCGTATATCAAATTATTCATTCAAGCATGCATGCATGCATGATTCCGAGACGACGGGGACCGGGCGATGGATGGATCGATGGAGCGAGTTTTAGGCGGACAGTTGGGTGCCCGACCGCGTTCTCGGCTTTAAAATCTGCCGCTTTCCGCATGCATGCATGCGCCGATCCGCCGATCGATCGAAGCCGTGTGTGCATTGCAACCGCGCGCACGCCATGCAAACCGCCCGCCGCTTCAGGCGTCCGCGCGCGGAGACGATCGACTCGATCGGCCTCGTTTACTCCGCACGTACGAGCCGTCTGCGTCGTCGCGCGAGGAAATAATATATATTCTCCGGTGTCGTGGGCATGTGATGCTCGATCGCGACTCGCGAGTGGCCGGAGATGTGGGCTTTTTCCGGTGTCCTTGGGCGAGACTTGGGCAGTGGGCAGGCAACGACGTCGACGCATGCACCGATCTGGTCACTGCCATAGAAAGGAGGTTGGCCAACGCGCGCACTGGGCATGTATATATATTCAGTGTCACCTAGTGCACAGTGATTTCTACTCTACGGGCCGGCTCTACGGCGTTTGATGACTTGATCGATCGGCCGGCCGTGCCATGATGGGGCTTCTGCTGCATGCAGTGGGCGCAACGGCACACATCACATATGGATCTCGATCATTCGAGTCTAGAGAACAAAAGCACGGAGGATTGGAGGAATGAAGGCGGTCGAGAGAGGATTTGGGGGAGTTCGAGAGCAATAAGTAGCTAGTGCCGACTTGCATCCGGCCACCGATGATGCGCTAGTATGTGTACGTACTACGGCTGTTTTACCACCGGTTCGTATAGTACGACGCGATCATGCTCGACCCTATGGCCGAAACAATCACGTCGTTCGTTGGCGACCCATGCTAAGTGATGCTGCCAAGGACAGTATTATTACGCGCCGCTGTGTGCTGTCCATCCGCCGCCCGCAAGGTCAACTTTTCACGCCGCCTCCGCAACAAATTGACCCACCTTTTCTTATGTTCCATGGAACCTGGGCCGTGTGAGCTTGTCCCTATTTTTTTTAAGGCTATTAGAGTAGGTTAACGAGTCACGTTAGTAAAAACCACTGTTAAAATAGATAACAATTATTTGGTTTTGCTAGAAATTTGTCGTCAAATTTTTTTCTTAATATTTGTCGATTTTTCTAACGGTGCAGCGCGCCGTTCGTACGTGATATCCTCGTTGGTGGCAGCGGTTCGTGACATGCATGTAAGTGATACATACATACGTACGGGGAAGCAGTGCATGTATGTGACCCAGTAATGTCTTGCACGTATCTTTTTATGTTTTTACTATACAACAAAAGCGATTAAATGTTAACTCTACTTAGATACGGATGAGAGAAATCCCGTGACCTCCACTGAGCACGAGAAGCGTACAGTTACGTGCAAATTACAATGTAATTACATATAATTATACTGTATTCACATTTGAAACTAAAATATAAAATTACAGTCCTATATAACTAAAATTACATTTGTAAGTTCAGTTGATATGATATGTAAGTGCACTGTAATTACACTATATTTACACTGTAACTACACTATAGTTACAGTATAGTTACACTGTAAGTATACTATAGTTACAGTGTAACTATAGTGTAGTTACACTGTAACTATAGTGTAATTACACAGTAACTTTTAGTAGATGAGTTGGTGATATTTTTTTTGCGAAGTAAAGATCTAATAAATAAAATATATGCAATATATATAATTAATATATGTTGATACATATATAAACTCTTCTAATCAAGTGATCAAATGAGCCTAATCCAACTATCTAAAATCTGTGTGATTTGGACCCAAAAATCTGTGGCGCGATGGATAGCTAGGCCCCAATTATTTTATATTGATTTTAATAGTTGAGATGAGCGATACACTCGGTTTTTTTTTATGGAGGTATACCAGTCAAATCCTACCTAATTTGAGGGAGCCACAGTAGACTTTTTCCTGCATAAGACATCTCCAAGGCCTACTTAGCCCTGGACCAGGTCTGCTTTATTCAGACCAGTCCAATTCATCAGTTCCGAATGACGAGCCGCACTTATGGGCCATTGGGCCTACGGTGAACATTTCCTATGACGGAACATTTCAAATGCCGAAAACTGTCTGCCACACATTTAAATGTGGGGTTCACTTTGGCATTTTTTTTAACTTTTAGAGTACACAGAAGAGAGGACGTTTAGGATGGTAATAACGAGCTAATAGTTTTTTAAATAGTCTGCAAAAACTATGATGCTTCGAACAAAGTACAGATATACAAATTCTCAAGCTGTAGTTAGCTAGCTAGAGAAAAAAAATAGGCAAATATAAACGAGACAGCTTTCACGCTACATGGAAGCCTCTTACAATCCGTTCAATCCGTTCAGCTTGCTAGCTAACATAGATATGTAAGTTGATCAATTATTGATCGATCATCAGGTCGTTTTAAACTCCCCTAACGACAAATAACATTCAACGCAAAATTTTGCATTTAGATTTGTCACATATACAGCATGGCTCCTGCTGGTTAAATGTTTTAAATTGGTATATACTGCATATGCACGTACTCGATCTGTCTAATTTTGCATTTTAATTTGCTTTGCTTTGGCCGTCTGTGCTAGCTATGAACTCATTTCATCGTGTCCTCCCACTCTGTCGCTCGCCTGCTCTGCCTCTACGTGAACTCCACCTCCACCCGCAAATCCACTATGCATTCGCCTCATCATAAAACTCAACCGATTCAATCAAATCAACAACCAAATCGATCTCAAAACCAGCAACCAACAAACGCACATTGCGAATGCACAATTGGTGGCTAGCCCACTAGTCCTTGATAATCTACTGCATGCAACGCCCAAGAACAAGAAGAAGAAGAAGAGATATGGCGTAAAGCTCACGATCGAGCTGTGTCGTTAGTGGCGTCGTATCATTGCGTCGCATGCGCTGCGGTTGATCGATCGATCGATGCCGTCGCCGTCGTGTTGCTTGCAGTGCAATCCATGCGGTGGGATGCTCGCGCTCTTCAAGAGGCGCCCGCGGGCGCTGCTCCGCCGCGCCGTGGGCAAGATGAACAGCAGCCGGCGCCGGCGCCGCCGCGCGGCGGGCAGCTTCAGCTCCGTCCGCGCGGTGTTCTGGCCACTCATGTCCATGCGCTCCGACGCCGACCGCAACGACGTCGCCGCCGCTGACCGGCCGCCGGCATCGTCGTCCACTGACGACGACAGCGGCGGCGGCGGCCTGCGCGCGCCGTCGCCGTCGCTCGACACGCCCGCGTCGACGACGGCCGCTCGGGTGCTGGCGCTGCAGGCCCAGCTCGGCGAGGCCGCGGCGGCGTCGACGAAGCCGAGCAGCGGTGGCGACGACGGCGTGGAGGAGGCGTGCAGAAGCTTCGAGAAGCATCTGATGGAGATGCTGGTGGAGGAGAGGAAGGTGAGGGACCTCATGGACGTCGAGGAGCTCCTGTGCTGCTGGGAGAAGCTCAGGTCGCCGGTGTTCGTCCAGCTCGTCGGCCGCTTCTACGGCGAGCTCTGCATGGACCTCTTCTCCGGCCGCGACACCGACGTGTCATCCGACTCCGAGGATTTGTCTCTCTGACATCCACGGACAGAACTGGGGTTTCTTTCCAACTGACAGGTGGACCCGGGTGTGGATATTTTTGTGGTCGTTTAAGCTGTTTCTGTGTTTTGTCAATCCGTGGAATGCCTATCCTACGTCAAAATCGTCCATCACCATCATAAAATCCTTCATCACCTTGTCAAATTACACTTTCGGTGAAGGATATGGCACCTTTCAACTTCCAGTTCGAGGGGATTTTGTACCTTTACCTTTGACCTTTTTAATTCAAAATTCTGTCTCAGCACATTTAAGGGGGAAAAAAACTTCTTACGAAAGCATGCGAGTAGTAGATTCATGGGTGTACAGCTGTTATCACTATTGTTAAAATCCTAATACACATGAATATTATGCTTTTCTATAGGATTTAAATGAGGTCAAGGCCTCTATTCCTTTAAGCATATGTTAAGAAATGCACTCGCACTCACGTATGTGTATCATAGGCGGATCAGGAGTGGTACTGGTGGTTCCGGGAAAAAAACCCTAGCCCAACTGCCCAATACACGTATATAAATATGTGAGAAGAAACTTTTGGAAAAAGAAAAAAAATCCCTTATTAATATGTTATGATGCACATTTGATCAATTTATATCTCTAACCTTGTTATATTTAGGGTATTTAAAAATATTATATAAGTTGAACCACCCATATTAAAAATCCTAGATACGTAATTGATATGTGAGTGTACAGTGCGTCTTTCAGGTAAAGAAATAAAAATGATACTACCTCCGTTTTTTAATAAATGACGCCATTGATTTTTTCTCACATGTTTGACCATTCGTCTTATTTAAAAAATTTATGTAAATGTATAAGATATAAATCACACTTAAAGTACTATGAGTGATAAAACAACCCATAACAAAATAAATTATAATTACGTAAATTTTTTGAATAAGACGAATGGTTAAACATGTGATAAAAAGTCAACGGTGTCATCTATTAAAAAACGGGAGTAGAACTTTTTTTTCTGTGCCTAGTATCCTCTTAAGCTTTGATTGGACCTTGGAATCAGACTTCAGCAGGTGTCTGCCTTCGCGTGGCCCTTGAACTAGAGAGCCCAATTATTAACTGGGCCTTTGTTTGGGCCTTATACAATCTACAGTTACATAACCAAATCACCGCGAATTGTACACATACGTAGTGACCAGTGACCACATGTTTGATTTGTACTTGTCAACTGACATCGACCTAACCAATCTAACGAAGTAACTATCACTGATTAAGCCATATGTGACCAAATTAAGAAAGCTTTTATCTTAGAGTTGCAGCAGCAGCCGCTATACTGGACCTGTCCGAGAGAGTTTCTACCGATTACAACTTTTCTCATAATCAAAGACTTTATGAAATAGTCTAACTTTTTTATCTAGATTTTAAGACAATATAGTTATAGAATTTAGAAAAATAAACTATTAGTCAAAAACTGAATTTTCTAGTTTATTCATATTCTCATAAGTTAGACTATCTGTCAATTCTTTCTAAGAATCACAATGAACATTTAAAAAAAAATTAGGACAGTCTTTTTTTCCTTGACCTATGGTGGCTTTTGAGCAGCAGCAGAGCGGCGGCTAGGTTGTACCGTTGTACCGTTGCAGCCTAATATGCCACAGCTATCGCAAATGATAAGCCAGCCTGAGAATCACATGCAGGCTTCAGAAGTACTCCTTTCGTTTTCGTTCTAAATTAGTTGTCTTTTTACCATTTAAATTTTATCTCATAATAGTTATCATTTTTAAGTCAATCATATCTTATTTAAATTTATTCTTATTCTACCCTCAATTATGCTTATATGCTCAACCATGCATTATTTGTATTATAGTTTTCGATCACTCGTTCTCTTCGGTTTCAGTGGAGCTGAAGTCCATCTTTCCGGAAGACCGTTTGTGATCATCTGCTGGCATTGCTGCTTTTGGGGACTTGCTGGGAGTTTAGTGGGGCTCCGCCCTCTCTTGCTCTAGGAGTTTTTATCCTCTTTAACTAGTCCTTAAACAATTCTTTTCCGGTTTTTTCTTCCTCGTCCCCTGGCAATGGCTTTCTAGCCGTTTATGTTGTGTAACCAAAACTCTGCTTTCTTCTAGTATATTGACGCGTGAACTTTTTGTGCGTTCATGAAAAATTTGATAAAGGCATTATAATATTTTACTCCAAATCTTAGCATGTAGTACCAAAAAATCTAGAACGTCAACTAATTTGGGAAGGAGGTAGTAGTATTTGTAGGTTTGGTGCAGAGCAACCGGTGGCAGGTTGCGTGCATCTTCAGAAAAGAAAAAAAAAAGCTACTTCCTCTATTTCATATCATAAGACTTTCTAGCATTGCCCACATTCATATATATATATATATATATGTTAATGAATCTATTAACATATATATAAATATGGGTAATGATAAAAAATCTTATAATATAAAATGGAAGGAATACTAGCTAGTACTGTACAGTCGTTCAGATTGGCATCTTTAGAAAGCCATGCGTTCATAGTGGACTCGAGCATTTCTAGTGCAATATGTTGATGGACGTCGATGGATCGTAGAGACGTAGACAAATGGAGGTTAGTACGTACCTTACAATTTATTCAGATTGGCATCTTCGAGAAGACATTTTTTCATCTTGGACTCGAGCATTTCTAGTACAATCACGTCAATGGATCGTACTAGAGACGTAGAAACTAGTGTCATATATGGAGGCTGCCTAATGATTGAGTGAACATAATCATGCGTGATGAGTGTGTGAGTGACAAGTTGGAAATTAAAGGATCCATCAAATGTCTTGAACGAGATTACATCTTCGTTAAGTGCAGTAGACGACCCAACGGTAGCTGAACATGGAGGTGGTAACACGAACAAACGCTACCAATTTCACCCGTGCAGAAACACAGCAAAGTATAGCCAAGCTGGTGAACGGATTTGACCCCTAATCTGGTCGATTCCCAACTGTACACTGTACAGAAGAAACACAAAAATGATATTCCACTAGTACGCAGGTTAGCAACGACACGTGAGCATCACTTGTCCTCTAGGATCAGGGCAAGTTTCCAAAGCTTCACATGCACATGGATGGACACACACGACACATAGGGGTGGACAGAAAAAGACCGAACCGAAAAGATCGAGACCGAGAAATTCGGTCATCAATTCGATCTTAGGCAGTGAAATACCGAATTTTGTTCAGTCAATTCGGTTAGTCTTCTTGGTTAATCGAATAGACCGAATAATGAAAAAAGGCAAAATTGGTTATATAGCATCGAAAGTTCACGTTTTTGGTTTTATAGCACTGAAAGTTACCGGTTCACTTTAATAGCATCCAAAGTTCACCCTGCTCCCATTTTTAGCACTTCCGTCAATTTTTTCGTCCGTCTTAATCGTTATTGATCCAGCCACACACATGATATGACATTTCTACTCCTCATTAATATGCATTATACTTGTACTTGTGAGGGGTACAAACGTCATATCGTGTGTGGCTAGATCAAGACGGACGGAAAACTATCGAGAATTGACGTAAGTGTTAAAAATGGGAACATGGTGAACTTTGGGTGCTATTAAAGTGAACCGGTAACTTAAGGTGCTAAAAAACCAAAAACGTGAACTTTCGATGCTATATAACCAATTTTGCCTAAAAAATGTCTAAATGCAACCTACAATCCACTATGTTTAATAGGATTAAACTCTTTTTTTCATATCCCTACTTCTTCTAGTCATGCAACATAATAAAATTCTTTACTCATAAGCGCACACGAACTTTTGTGTGGTTTTTGTGTTAAAATTTTCATTATTTCTTTGCATATATGAAAATGTTGTTGAATTTTGGTCAGGAGGACCGAGACCGAGATCGAATTTGTCGGTCCTGACATTTTTACGCTGAAATTCGGTCTTCACTTTTCAAAAACCAAAAAGACCGAAAACCGAGACCGAAATTTTCGGTTAGACCAAATGCCCACCCTAACCACACACACTCGCATGCATCTCCACACGTGGTCGGCCAAACCAAAACCACAACCCGAGCTACCAACCCCAACACGCGTAGTACGATCGCTGTGGACCTTAGAGACTGGCCCATGCTGTGTGTGACTGTGGATAGCAGCATGCTGCAAATCGAGCATGCATATAGCGCCGAAAGTGTCATTCTGATCACGCATCGATGCATGTTCCTTCTTCTGTGCAGCCATGTGAGATGAAGAGCAGAGAGGAAAATATACGACAAGGTTGTTGTCATCAATGAAGCTAGTACTGCTTTCATTCATGTCCGGGATTGCGATTTTGCCAATCCGGTCCTTACCGTCGACGAGGGACGAGAGGCACAGGAAAACCTGGCGAGTTTTCGGGGACCAAAAGCTGTAGGATTCGTTTCAGTCTTGAGAGAAACGTTATTTACATTGTCGTTATCGTTGGAGGCACGCGTTGCGATGCAGCCGGCGGCAACGGCAACATGCAGACGGAGCCATGTGCTGCCTCTCGATCTCTTTGAGACGAGCAGGTAGGCACTCCACGTTGATAGAAACAATGGAAATGGAAAGGATTGGTCCGATACGGCGCGGCGATGCAACTGATGTTAACGCTCTGGTTTCTGGAGGACTACCCAACAGCATCCCTCATCTTAATTCTGCTAACTAAATTGGACCAGTGGATCGGATAGTCCTTGTCCTTTGAATGAAACTGATGCTACCCTTTTTCTCAAATTTTACACCTTGTTTTCTACTAAACAATATGATTTTATAAAAAATAAATTCTATATAAAGATTACTTTAAAATAATTCTATATATTAATCATTTTTTTAAAATTTTTTTAAGCTAATAATTAATTAATTAATCATGTATTAATGAGTCGTACGTTTTCATGGTATAGAGGTGTTTCTAATTGGCCAGTCCAAACTCAGTCTTATAGTATCCTATCATGTAAAAGTGTTAATATACCATTATATTTATATTAAGTTTCATAAAACTACAAATACTTTTGTTAAATTATCACATAACTACAATTTTAAGATAATATATCATAAAACTACAGATTTAATACTAACTTTATTATAGAACTACAGATTTAAGGTTGAGTGTTGTAAAACTATAAATTTACTAACAAAATTATCATAAAAATACAAATTTAGCATCAATTTAGACAAAACTCGGATGTTTATAATTCAAATATAATATTAGTGCTAAGGATTTAAACCCCGAAATATGTAATTATGTGATAATTTTATTGTTAAATATGTAGTTTTGTGATACTTAGTCTTAAATATGTAGTTTTCTGATAAAATCTGTAGTTTTGTGATAATTTGATCAAATATTTATAATTTTATGAAAATTACTCTTGTGTATATTCACAGTATATTACAAATGTTAATGTTTATATATCCGTACAAAATTCAAAGAGTTGAAAGATACCATGATACGTGTCATTGGCATGTGGGTCTAGAACTCAGATGTCATTCGGTTATTTTCATATAGTATGATGGTATTTTGTAACCTACGTATATCTGCAATGGTTTTTTTAATATATAAAAAAAATTTAGCATACAATCTCCTCTAAAAAAAATATTACCAAGCCTGGGAGTGCCGGATACGATTCGCTTCGCTTTTATTCATATCCATGTGGCGTGGAACGGATCATCGATGGCACATCGCGGGATGCTCGAGGAGATGGCCATGTGTTCTTGGTACTTGCTTGATTCTTTCCATCTTTTCTTTATTTGATTGTAGAAAGAAAGAAACAGCTCAAACTTGTGTGGCCGGCACGGCTGTATTAATGTTCTCCGTTGCATCAGAGTCATATTTTGTCGATTCTTCAAGTCCTCTTCTGGTCGTCGTCCTAAAAGATTAGTAGTAGCTCGTTTGGCATTTGAGATGCAGACATGGGTTGGGTGCAGAACTAGGGGAATGCTTTTCTGTCTTCTGCTGCTTCTTTGATTTCTTCAGAAGTTTCTTGCACACCAATGTGTATAGTAGAGAAGCCAAAAATGGGAATACGATCTCTTGGGTTTTGTGCTGTTACTAGCTCCTTGTTCTTGCCCTTTCAGCAAGCAAATATGAGATCTTTGCAGCTATAATTAATCAAGAACTGTTCTCTGTAAAAATAAATAGGAGTCCACTTTTGGACCAGTCACTGCATTAGAATGTAAACAATTCTTTCGCTTTCACAAGTTTACATAAGGTTCGGCATGAGTAAGATCACATTTTTCTCGAGACATAAGAAGTGGTAGGAGTCCATCTTTCAAAAAGAATTGGTGATCCGTTATCATCTATTCTTTTCGATTTGGACCTATCCTCTCCTCCCTGCCAAACTCTGAACTGACCAAAAAGGTTTGGATCTTTTTGCATTGGTTTGAGGCAAGAAGAAGAAGAGGTTGGAGTGCGAATTCCACCATTAACGCAATAGTGATGATCTAGGGGAGGCTTCCCTGGTCTGCATTACATTCTGAAAGCAAAAGCTCATTGAGTCGGCACTTCCTGTGCTGTGATGCGAGAATGTGAGTTCACATGCTTTTGTCCTTGGACCCACATGGCCTGCCTTGGCTGTTCCATTCGGTCATATGCCCAAAAAGCTCTCGTTAAATCCCCTACCTGCTGCACTTTGCCATCCATCGATTTGATTTTATATGATGCAACTTGGTGTTATCCCAACTTTGTAAGTTTAGTGTGATTATCTCTTTGAAGCTTAGGTAGAGGAGTGAGCACTAGTAGTTGATTAATAGGATTTGTATTGTAAGTGTGATACTGCTCCACCACACGTGTCTATATCGCTTCCTTCCATTCCATCACCTCGCATTCATTCCAATTAGTGATCTTGAGGGGCTCCATCTGCAACTTTTCACCTTGGATATATTTGCATCCTTGCTTTTCCCAGCTCTCCTCGCCCTTTCCCCTTCTTAGAGCTGATTCTCTCGATTGATTACCTAGTACTACTGCAATTCACATTGTCAGCTCTTGCTTGTTCCCAGGTGCGTCCTCTATCTGTGTTCAATCTTGTTCTTGGCCTGCAGAATCTATACAAGTTATGACAGTGTGTTGTATCTAATTCATCTTTTCTTGGAGCAGGAGGATCAGTTTCTTGCTGAGCAATGGATCCTGAGTTCGGGAGAGGCATGGCGCCTCGAAAGGTGAGAGAGCTTTTTCCAGCTTAAGCCGTGGTAGGTGATATCAATCCGGCAGCTAAGCTCGAACCAATGCAGAAGTGACTGAGGCAGAGTGACCTTTGCTGTTGCTGCAGAGAGAGCCATGGCGGACGACGCTGCTGCTGGCGTACCAGAGCCTCGGGGTGGTGTACGGCGACCTGAGCATCTCGCCCCTGTACGTGTACAAGAGCACCTTCGCGGAGGACATCACCCACTCGGAGTCCAACGAGGAGATCTTCGGCGTCCTCTCCTTCGTCTTCTGGACCCTCACCCTCATCCCCCTCATCAAGTACGTCTCCATCGTCCTCCGCGCCGACGACAACGGCGAAGGTAACCTCTCTCAAGCTGCTGCTGTTTTGTTTCTGCCTGCAAGATTCTGAACTCTGCCTCTCTGCAGTCTGCAGAAGATTCTTGGTGAGCTTATGTGTTGTTGTTGCGATTTGGATTTGGCAGGAGGGACGTTTGCGCTCTACTCTCTGATCTGCAGGCACGCCAATGTGAGCCTCCTCCCAAACAGGCAGGTCGCCGACGAGGAGCTCTCCACGTACAAGCTGGAGTACCCGCCTGAAGTGGCTAACAGGTCTCGAATCAAGGAGTGGCTTGAGAAGCACAAGACTCTGCAGACTGCTCTGCTGATCATGGTGATGATTGGAACCTGTATGGTCATCGGGGATGGCGTCCTCACGCCCGCGATATCTGGTAATCTTCAGACTGAGCTTTTTTTTCCCCCTTTGGTTACTGTTCTTCGAAAATTGCGTACCTTGTTTGGAGAAAAGAGTTGCTTACATTTGGCTCTCTGCTATTTGATTTGTCTGTTTGCAGTATTCTCAGCGGTTTCAGGGCTTGAACTCTCCTTGTCCAGGGATCAGCATGAATGTAAAGTCTCAACTCTGAATTCTGAAGTGCAATTGTTTCAGAACACCTTTATGAGTAGTACTCTAGCTGTAGCTAGTTCATGTAGTACTTCCTAATGATATAAACAGCCTAGCAAGACTGTTCAGCTTTGGGTAGATCTTTGTTGGTTGATATAATGAAAAACTGTAAGAACAGCCCCAAACTATACAAACTGCTGATAATGATCATGATTGGATTAGGAATTTTTTTCATAAACTGAATCTGAGAGAGAGTAAGGTGGAAGCTTTAAATGCAAAAGTACTAATACATTAATTCTACATCACCTGTAACCTTCACATTTTTTAGCTTCCTTGCCATGCTCATTTATGCGTTTTTCTGTGCAGATGCCGTCATTCCGATAACATGTGTCATATTAGTGTTCCTGTTTGCACTCCAGCATTACGGTACCCATCGTGTCGGATTTCTCTTTGCACCAATAGTCCTAGCCTGGTTGATTTGCATGAGCATGCTTGGCTTGTACAATATCATCCACTGGAACCCTCAAGTTTATCGCGCTCTTAATCCCTATTACATGCTCAAATTCTTGAGGAAGACTAAGAAGTCTGGGTGGATGTCCCTGGGGGGAATTTTGCTCTGCATGACAGGTAAAGTGAAGTATGCGTATGCTGAGATAAAGTTCATCCTTTCCCTTTGTAAGTTCTAAAATTGTAAGGAAATGGATTATTGGATGAAGTTAGCAACTCTGAAATGTTTGGCATTGCAGGATCTGAAGCAATGTTTGCTGATCTTGGCCATTTCTCCTACAGTGCAATCCAGGTAATTCGCTTGTCCTGAATTTTCAGTCCATGTGTTCCATGGTTTCATTCCTTCATTGTTTCTGTAAATCACAACTCTGAACCTTGATTTTTGCAGCTTGCTTTCACTACATTAGTATACCCTGCACTGATTTTGGGATACATGGGCCAAGCTGCGTATTTATCGAAACATCACACTCTGAACTCAACCTACCAAATTGGTTACTATATATCGGTTCCAGGTACTGAAACATCATCACTATTCTTCTGAACTGAACATGTGTAGCAGTTGATGGTTCTGAAGAACTGCACCTATCTAGACACACTGAAGTTACAGCATTTCTTTTGGCTTATGCAAAATGCAGAGAGTGTAAGGTGGCCTGTGCTTGTGCTGGCAATTTTGGCATCGGTCGTCGGAAGCCAAGCAATCATCAGTGGAACATTCTCCATCATCAACCAGAGCCAGTCACTCAGTTGCTTCCCAAGAGTGAAAGTGGTGCACACATCTGAGAATATCCATGGCCAGATTTACATCCCTGAGATCAACTGGCTGCTCATGGTCCTCTGCATTGCTGTGACTGTCGGTTTTCGCGATACCAAGCATATGGGAAATGCATCCGGTGAGTATCCATTACCATCCTGTCAGCTATACTTCACTGTAATTTCAGCTCTTTCTGATCACTTCAAGTATATATTTCATGATTAAAACAATGTTCATAATCCGATCAAACAAATGCTCTGAACTTCTGCAACAGATATGCATTAGAATTTCATTGCGTTGCTTAGAATGTGAGTTGTTGTGCAGGATTGGCAGTGATCACGGTGATGCTGGTGACGACATGCCTGACATCCTTGGTGATCATGCTGTGTTGGCACCGGAGTCCGGCGCTGGCACTCGTCTTCTTCCTCTTCTTCGGCTCCATCGAGGTGCTCTACTTCTCGGCGTCGCTGATCAAGTTCCGGGAGGGGGCGTGGCTGCCGATCATGCTGGCGCTCATCCTCATGGCCGTCATGTTCATCTGGCACCACACCACCATCAAGAAGTACGAGTTCGACCTGCACAACAAGGTGACCCTGGAGTGGCTGCTCGCCCTGGGCGACAAGCTGGGCATGGTGCGCGTCCCGGGCATCGGCCTCGTCTACACCGACCTCACCTCCGGCGTGCCGGCCAACTTCTCCCGCTTCGTCACCAACCTCCCGGCGTTCCACCGCGTGCTGGTGTTCGTCTGCGTCAAGTCCGTCCCGGTACCGCACGTGCTTCCCGCCGAGCGCTACCTCGTCGGCCGCGTCGGCCCGGCGGGGCACCGGTCGTACCGGTGCATCGTGCGGTACGGCTACCGCGACGTGCACCAGGACGTGGACTCGTTCGAGGCGGAGCTCGTCGAGAGCCTCGCCACCTTCATCAAGCTGGACGCGCTGTACCACCGCTGCAGCGACGCCGGCAGCGGGAGCGAGCAGCTCGACGACGGCCGCTACGAGCGCGAGAACGCGCTCACGGTGATCGGGACGAACCCTCTCCGGCGATGCCTCAGCTACGAGGCCTCCCACGACGGCGTGTCCTCGGTGGACGCCGCGCGCAGCCCGAACGGGATAGTGGAGGTCCCGGCGGCGGCGGCGGCGGCGCCGGTGACGAAGAAGGTGAGGTTCGTGGTGGAGGCGGCGAGCCCGGAGGTGGAGAAGGGCGTGGTGGAGGAGCTGCAGGAGCTGTGCGAGGCGAGGGAGGCCGGCACGGCGTTCATCCTGGGGCACTCGCACGTGCAGACCAAGCCGGGCTCGTCGCTGCTGAAGAAGCTCGCCGTCGGCGTCGGGTACAACTTCCTCCGGCGAAACTGCCGCGGCCCGGACGTGGTGCTGCGCGTGCCGCCGGCGTCGCTGCTCGAGGTCGGCATGGTCTACGTCCTATGACGTCACCACGAGATCTCATCGATCAATACCCTGTAAAAAAAATTCAAAATCAAATCTCTCTGCTTGTATAAGAATTAAGAAGCAGATTGGAAGAAAATTGGGCGAATTTTCTCCGATTTTTCAGCTGCTTTTTTGGTCCGTGATGAAACCGGCGACGGCGAGACGCCGGTCAAACACTCGGAACGGGCAACGTGGGCTGCGAATAGAAATCGGCCCATTTAATGTCCGGCCCATGAACGTCCACTTGATGCAGCCTGTTCGACTCGGCTGACCCATGGGCTTGAACGGGGATCTTTTGTGGAATAACCGTCCCTCAACTTTACACCGAGTTTGTGTGACATCCCTTATCCTCAATACCAGAAATCTTCACCCCTAAAATATACTCCCTCCGTTTTAAAATATTTAATACCGTTGACTTTTTAGTATGTGTTTGACCATTCATCTTATTCAAAAAATTTAAGTAATTATTTATTCTTTTCATATAATTTGAATCATTGTTAAATATACTTTCATGTACACATATAATTTTACATATTTCATAAATTTTTTTTAATAAGACGAACGATCAAACATGTGCTAAAAAGTCAACGGTGTCAAACATTTTAAAACGGAGGGAGTATAAAACCGTTCAATCTAGCTCCTATAGCAGTATAGATAAGTGGTTTTGCTGACGTGGCAATTTGACCCGGTCCACTCGTGCTGATGTGGTAAAAACGAAAGCATGCCCCACCTGTCATCCTCATTCTTCACGGTATCTCTTCCCCTGCTCTCTCTCTCTCTCCCTCCTCCCCTCTCTCCCCTGCTCTTGGTCTCTCCTCGGCTCCTCCCTCGACAAGGTGATGGTGGCGGCGGTCGTTGCAGCCGGGGCGGCGAGGAGGTGGCGTGGGGGCGTCGGCTGGGGACCACGCCAACGACGAGCCGACGACGGCCGACGGCTTGGGCCGGCGAGGAGGCGACGCCAACTAGGGGCGGTAAGGAGGCGGCGTCGGCGGCCTCGGCTGGGGACGTCTGCATCTGCTCCGCCGACTCCCTAGACCTGCACGCCTCGCAGCGAACGTCGCCGTCGTCATTGGCACGACGAGCAAACTCAAGAGGGAGTCGACGGCTCGACGCGGAGCGGCCGTCGGCAACGGTTAGCGGCGGCTCCGGTGACCTTTAGGCTAGGCGCCCGCCCCCGCGAACCACCGCCGGGAAGCTGCTGCTTCTGGCAATCTGGCCGCACGCCGACGAGATGGAGCAGCAGTATAGGGGATGACGGACGACGGCTTGGAGGTAGAACAGTGGTTTGGTTGCCGCCTTGCCTGAGGGAAATAAGCGACGAGTTTACCTTGCTCTTTCCCTCCTCGGTGAGGCGCTCCTGGACCGCGGAGCGGCGGCGTGGCGAGGAAGTTGTGCGCATGGAGCGCGGTCTGGGCAGGGGCGACGGCGATGAGCTCCCATGCCGCAAGGTAAACTCGTTGATTGGTTAATTGGTGTCAGAAAATCTGAATTTTCAGTCTTTGATTGGTTAATCGATGTTTTTTAGTTCATATGTTTGCTCTTTGATCGGTTAATTGGTATCGGAATCTAAATGTGTACATTTTGGTTTGTTAATTGAGGTGTCTGTATCCAGAGCTGTGCCGAATGTCCATGTGAAATTTACTTCTGCTCTTATCATGGTATCCGAGTAAAATTGTGGAGGTGGAGTTTCGACGCGGCTGCGGCGTCGTGCACGACGACGGACAGCGTCGGCCCGTCTGGAGGAAGGCGACGCCTCTCCCCTCCCCCATCTTCCGCCGGCCGCCTCCCCTCTCCACATTTCTCTCCTCCCGTCGAGGCCATGGTTGCCGCCGCTGTAGGAACTGCCGTGGTCGTGGCCGCAGAGCCCACCGCCCGCCCGTGGCCCAGCGCCGCTCCGCCCGCTGCCCGCCCATCGTCGCTCCGCTCGCCGGCCCCCGGCCTCCCTGACCAAAGAAGAGAAGAGAGAAGAGAGAAAAGAGAAGGGAGGGAGAAGAAAAGAGAAGAGAGAGATATGTGCAGCTGACATGTGGACCCCATATACTTTTTTAAATTCTTTTTTTCTGACTAGGATGCCACGTGAAACCACCCAGATATACTGCCATAGGACCTTTAGTGCACGGTTTATGTAAGCTTAGGGGTACACATTTTTGATTTTGTGGTTAAGGGACTTTAAATAATCTCGTTGTTAAGTTGAGGGACCTCCGGTGAACTTATTCCATCTTTTGTCGTGCGTGCGGCCCAATAACGAGACTGGGACCTATGAATATTAGGCCGAAATGGGATTTCGACGTACAAGAGGCCCATACCAGTTAGTCTAAACGGGATTTTGATTACGTGACGGCCATTTTGTGTGTACATGCGTCCCATTTTGTTTGGTCCATCGATTTATGTCCCAGGAGTTTCAGAAAGATGAAAGGAATAACACCACTTGCCGTAGCTTATCTTTACATTGAGTTTAATTAACATCTCTTTAAAACGTAAAACTATAAATCTTCACATCACATCTTGGCAAAACTGTTTAAGATAGGTCCCATGACATTACGAATGGCTGGTTTTCACTAACATGATATCCTAACCAGCAAAAATAAATAGAAAAACATATAGGGCCACATGTCAGTGTCCCACTTCTTTCTTTTATCTTTTTCTGCAACCGCGTAAGCTGTTTAGGGGTGGCGGTGAGGGAGGCAATGGGTGAGCCTATCCGTGCTCGAGCTCACGGCGCCTCTATGCAAGGGAAGCGAAGGCGGGAGAGTCAGGAAGAGGAAGAGGAAGGCGACCAGCGAGCCTGTCCAAGCTCAAGCTCGCCCGGCCTCCATATGAGAGAGGCAGAGGTGGTGGGCAAGCCCATCCAAGCTTGAACTCGCATGACCTCCGTGCGAGGAAGGCGTAGGAGGTAGCATGAGGGGTAGTCGTCGGCGAGCCCGTCTAAGCTCGAGCTCTCTTGACCTCCGTGTGAGGGAAGCAAAGGCGACCAGAGAGCCTGTTCCGTTCGAGAAGGAGAGGGAGGCAAGGGGCCGGTGAGCTCGCACTCCTGTGCGGTGCACATGTTGCGCCATTCCTCTTCGCAGCAGCGCACGAGCTTGGCCTTGGTGACCTTGGGTGCAGCCAGAGCGCCGACGCGGGAGGGCCCCAAGTTCCTTTGCCAAGTGATGCCGGGAGGAGGACGCTAAGAAGCATGCCGAGGCTGCCACTCGCAAGGCTGAGAACCGTCGCCTCCGCCTCCGCCTTCGTGTCGTCCAAGATGGCCTCCTGTGTCGGCGCCCTGCTGGCGTCCAAGGTCACCCAGGCCAAGCTCACACGCCAGCGACCTCGTCCGGATCTAATTTAATCTGGTTTTGCAAGTTAGTAGATGGCAAGATTTCTGGTATTATACGTTTTAGGGACGCGAATTAAACTCGACGGAAAATAAGGTATGTAAGTGGACTTATTCCGAAAGAAAAAGGGTCCAGGTCTTAATAGCGGGCCGGGTACAAGCTCCGGTCCAGCAAAGCTATTCGTCCTACGAGGCAGGCCGACTGGTGGGACTTCACGCATCGTCTCGTCCGATTTCTTTCTCGATCAAACGCCACCAAAAAAATCTGAGAAAATTCGAGGAGGGGCGCGGATATTGGCGCATCCTCGTGAGAAATTCCAGTCTAGATCGCTGGCGGGGTAGAGGGAGTAGCGAAAATGAGAAAAAAATACGTTGCGATTTTCATCTAATCGAGCCGTCCTCTCCATCTGGATCTGAATTCTGTGTTCTATGAGCGCCAGAGCATATATGCCCTAGTAGAAACGATGCAGGCGAGGCTTCCGGGGTTCGTTCTGCTTTGAATTCCGCCTCGATAAGGTTACTAATCTCTATCCCCTTGGTCCTTCGATGAGAATCGTTCCTTGTTTCCGTAACTGCTCATGTGCCGTAGCATTATGTTCTAATTTTAAGATCAGCGATATTCTGATTGAATCCCTTGCTGGAGTTAACCTGACAGTAATTTTTGAGTGAGAACAACTTTTGTTCAGAACAAGAATAGCAGTACAGCTGCTTGTTTGATTGCATTGAGATTAGAAATTTTGGCACGATAGGAGGTGAGTATTTTGATTGTACAAGTGCACACCTCTCTAACTTTAGTATATGTATCATTTATTTTGTAGTTCACTCCAAACAAAGGGTTACAGATGCAACAAATTGCGAAACATGGAACCTTAAGAATTTTGTCCACAACATATGTTTTACTTCTTTCTGACTTGTTTTTACTCTTACATTGTTTAAAAGAAGAGTCCCAGGGCTTTCCAAGTGCTCGATGTTCTGAAGAATCCTGTATGTACTTTAATACAACTATGACAATTAAGTTAGGCACCCTTGAACAGTGCATGATTAGAAGTTGTTAGGATGAAAGAATTTCCCATCAAATGGCAGATTGGTGCTGAGTCGAAGTACAAGACAACTTCTCGTTGTCTTTGCATTGCATTATGCAGCTGAACTGAACATGCGGTGATGGAATAGCCGAATAGACTAGTAGAAGCCTGCTCCAGTTACTAGCTGCTTGAGAGCACAAGAGCTCTTGCGACAAAGGGAGCATTGAAAAACAACAATTATGGAGTTAGTAGCGCAATATGGAGAGTTGTGTAATGCTCCATCATATTCTCTATCTAACGAGCGAGTATAAAATGGTTGTTTTGGTACAAGACTAATTTATTTTCCCTCTTGTTTTTTGATCAATCATGATGGTATCAATTCCCGAGCTTCTCATAACTTCAGATATATTTATGGATCCTTTATGTTTGTTTATTCTAGGCCTAGTTGCTTGCTTCAGGTGAAAGCACCACGAAGGGACTGGTTTAATTTGTCTGGTGGTTCTGGATATGAACAAGTTAAGGTACAATTAATCCTTATAATTTGTATTGTTGTTCTTGTTTCCAAGTCAAATTTCACATTCTTATTTACCTTGACTTATAAACTATACTATCACTTAAGTATATATGCTACATTTTCATATATGACATCGTGTTGTATCTATAGAAATGTTCTTAGTACAATGATGATGTACAACGTTAAATAATATTTCCTCCATCCCAAAATAAGTGTACTCCTCTAGTTCAAATTTGAAGAGAAGTGCACTTATTTTGGAACGGAGGGAGTAGAATAATATAGTTTCCTGGCATGATTATATGTACATTGTTTGTTTTTGGAAGTCAATAACAACTCAACTGTGTTTAGTTTCTGAACTATGACATCATTTGAGAGAACTTAAGTATATATGCTACATTTTCATATATGACATCACGTTGTATCTATCGAAATGTTCTTAATACAACGATAATGTACAACTTTAAATAACAGAATAATTTAGTTTTCTGGCATGATTATCTGTACATCGCTTGTTTTTAGAAGTCAATAACAACTCAACTGTGTTTATTTTCTGAACTGTGACATCATTTCTGAGAACTAATTTATACCATGGTGAAAGCTTAGTGCCTGTCTTATTTAGGCTGAATGACGTAATACTACCAGTGCCTGGAATATGAAATAGGGAAGATATTTCGTTGTGCAATTGTAATTTGCCGATTGATTCAGACAGGAAACATTTGAATAAGAAAGTCTAATGTTCGCGAACATGATTAGGCCCCAATTTGATTCCTATTGTCGCCAATGTCTTGTTAGGTCAGTCGATTAGTCTAAGTTGCTGAAAATGACTTGTTCTCTACAATTTGTCAATTTCATAATCCTATGGCAGGGAATAAGTTTGCCCAAGCATCACCAATATGCAGAAGTTTCTGAGAAAAACTGAAAAACTGGACCTTAGCTCAGGAACACTGGATCCAGGCACTAGAGGTCACCTGTCCAGGTTGTGCTGGTTTTCTGTCCATTGTTTTGTCTGAACAAATGGAGAACACACACTATCTGGGGAAATAAATGAGTTGCAGATCAAGAGATACTACAACATCAGTGACTCTGATCATGTTATCAATCCGAATTTCCCTCTGATTTTGTCAAAACTGCTTAAGCTAACTTGTTGAGATGCTTAGCTCGCCTAACTATTTGTTTTCTGCCTGATGACATGAGGTGTGATGGTGAACTGCTCAGGGTCAGTCTCAACTTGCCACTCAAGAAGGGTACAGGTGTCGAGCTGCAGTAGGAAAAGGGCCCACGGTATCAGAATCAGCTCAACCAAGGACTGAGAGGTGGGCCCAACCTTGCCACGTGGGTGCATGTGGCTCGTAGACGTGCACTTGCACAGCATGGTATGTGGGGCCAGACCAGGAATATATATGGGCATATGGCGTATCAGTTTCAGAAGCTTTGAAAGGTACGAATCAGTATTTGTCGAGCCTGCAACATGTAGGGTAAAGATTTTAGGACCCTGTTTTCTCTGTCTTGTCGAAGTCTATAAAACAGTGCAAATAATTAATTAAAGCGTGTAGTTAAGTGCGACCTAATTGCTCGACACGTACTTTATACTCATTAATAATTCTGGCGACAAGCAAACATGCGATGGACAGAGCTTTCATCTACTTACAATCACTGTTTCGATGTAGGTTGGACCTACTAATTGTGCAATCAGTGTACCATTCGCTTTGGCCCTGATTAATCACAGGACAAATGGATCAACCTACAGCCCGGGAGAAAGCAGAAAGCATCATGCATTTCCAGGAACCGATTATTCGGATTCAGATGCCTCTAAGGTTCGAAAAGCCATGATTGCAGCAGCAAACAGACATCAAAATTTTGATTCGGAGAATGCAGTTAGTCAACAGCAATGTGCGGATGGTCCAAGAGATTGAAATGTTCAGAGCGACGCAGCCCAGAAAATGATTTCAGAATGGCCATGTTTTGGCCGTTCGTCCACCGTAAACAAGCAGCCAAACTGGAATTACTTGCACCTTCAGAGACGGCGACATCATCCTGCAGGGGACAAGCAGCGGCTTCTGGATCATCACGGGAGCTAGCAGAGCTTGAGGGAGACTTGCCACATACCAACAAATGGCCCATGCCCCTACTGCCCCACCATTACTATTGTTTATTTTGTCTAATTGTTTACACTGCACATAACCACATACTGATTTTTCTCCATTTTAGAATCTTGGGCTGAAGAACGGCTGCAGAAACCATTTTTATTTCTGAAGGGTAAGCTGCAGAAGGTTTGGTTACTCCACTGCTATAGTTCCTGTACTTTATCTTCAGTGGAATTCAGAGTTCAGACAACTTAACGTCTTAACGTCTTAGTATTGGAAGTTTGGTTGAAATTGGAACAATGTGATGGAAAAATTAGAAGTTTATATATGTAGGAAAATTTGGATGTGATGGAAAAGTTGGAAGTTTGGAACTAAATAAGGCCTTATTACCTTAATGAACAAACTACTGAGTAGTAAGTAGTACTGGGTAGTATATACTTTGATGGACGTCTCATTCATCTTTGGGAGAAATCCCAACTGTTTGGTGATGGATCCTTACTGATCACGACATATAAGATGGTCCCTCTCTGGTATCAATTTCTAGGAAGGCAAGGTGCTATGACAGTCTCTTCTACTAGTGGTGTATGTGTATCTCCGGAAAAGAGAATCGAATCTGGTCATCACCATGTCCATTCATTCCAAGGTGAAAACAACCTTAGTACCACCTATTGCTGTCCCTTTTTTTCTTTTTCGGAGAAAGCATATGAAAATCAACATCCTAGCATTAATTTGGCTATGAACATCGCATGCTTTCCTTCATAGCTGACTCCCTAGAGGCCCTTTTTTCAGACAAGGTAAAAAGGTCTAGAAGGCAACCCCTGAGGGCAAGTACTACGAGTCTCTACACATTGCTTCTAAATTTACCATATAAGATTAGATGATGAGGTGGAGGAGAGGAGTTAGGAGAGAGAGAATGAGCCACTCCTCATGCAAGGGGCAACCTCTACACAATATCCAAGAAAAGTACAAGATGATGTGAGAGTAGATTAATATTGGGGTTTGTGTATTAGATGTGATATGTTTTATGTGTTGCCTCTTAAGTAATGAGAAGATGACATGATCTAAATTAGATGTGACATCCACCTCCACTATAAAACTTGCCCTCAAGCCCTGTGAACTTCCTCCCTTTTTTAGGCTATCTTGATCTCATGAGGTCCTTATTTTCTTTAGTAGTTTTTATATTTTTCTCCTTAACAAATCTGACTTCTGGATACACATATGCAAAAAAAAAAATATTTGCTTATTTCTTAGTAGCTTTGTGATATTCTCCTTAACAAATCTGACATCTTTATACACACATGAAAAAAAAGAGATAATTATTCTTATTTGCTTCGGGTGAACAAGTCAGTACAATGTAACTTAATATAGAGATTCATATGTGCAATAGAAGTGGACTAAAATACTAAAAATACACTAACTAGTATTTAAATTTTACACCTGTCTTTCATGGCTAGTAAGTTGCAAGCACCGATGTATCTCACCTGGAGCTTTACGTGATGTGAAATAGTAGTCATTCCATCTGTTTTTTCTTATAAAACGCGATAAACCCAGCCTCTAAATTTAACAGGATGTACATGGCCAATACACGAGCGCATAGTCTCCAAACACCTTACACAAGGTCCAAACAACCATTAGCCCAACATGATACAAATACCACTAAACTTACTCTTAACTTCAAAAGTTTGCAACCCTCTTTCACTGGTTGCTATCATCTTCGATTAAGACCATTGCCTCGCCCAATAGGTCCTTTTGAAGATAACCTGCAAAAATAACTTAATCTTGAAGCCATTGAACACCAATTATTTCTAGAGGTCTAAATAGCTCAACACAATGCCGCAATTCTCACAAAGAATTGATATTTAGCCAATTACCAAAAAAGTTAGCGGCAATAGTAGGCGGTTCGAGCCAAAAGCTATGCATACGGCCTTCCAAATACCTCTGGCAATTTGGCAATCGAAAAATATATGTTGTGTTGTCTCATTAGAATAAAAAACAATGGTTAATGCTACCTTTCCATCTCTTTTCACTAAAATTGTTATCTTTAGTTGACACAACCGCTATCTGTTAAGTATCAAAGGCATTCAATCAGTATACTCATTTCGTCCTAAAATAAACTAACCTAATATAGAATATAACATTTTCTATTACAACGAATTTGTTTTGGTATGTTCAGATTTATTTTACTATGAAATGTTCTATTTTATCTTAGAATCATTTGTTCTTGGGACGTGAGGGTATGTTAACGGCTAGCGTCCATGCGTACTTTTATGCGACGTCACAGCACACATGGGCATCTCTATCTATGTTCGTTTTTAGGACACGTGCATCTCCATTGATCACAGCAATTAAAGGCTGCCTAATCGATCATCAACTGTTGTCATTGAACCCTAGCGTGACGGAACAGAATGAATAGGACGTTGTACAAGAAACGAGTGTGCTAATGAAGATTGAAGCACCTCATGTTAGGCAACATCACCGCGAACAACTCAACTACTAACTATTCTTGGTTGACACAGGCACATTTTTAACTATTTGCTGATTAACCGTGGTTTATTTACCATAAGTTGCAGCAAGCTCCGTGTAGTCCCGGTTGGCAACCCCTTTGTAGTCCCGGATTTTCAACCGGGACTATGAATCCGGGACTAAAGATCACTATCTTTAGTCCCGGTTGAAATAATAACCGGGACTAAAGATAGCAGCACAGTCCCGGTTGGTCACCATTTTTTTCTTTTTTTTATTTTCATTGTTTCTTTCCAAATAGTTGCTCCTTCCCAAATCTCCCCAAATATCCCAAATATCCCAAAATCAAAGTATCATCCTCAAATCAATGAATCATTCACATCACAAATTCTCAAAAAACTACAACTCAAATTCTTAAAGAAATACATCACAGATCCAATGAATCACAAGTTCTTAGATCCAAATGTATCAAAAATTCGGGAAAAAAAAAGAAAATTGTGCTTCCGCTGCCGCCTCCCCCCTCCGGCAGAGGAGAGGGCGCCACCGGCCGCCAGCTCCCGCCATCGCCGCGCTCCCTGCCGCCCGCGGCCCGCCGCCAGCCGCCGCCCGGGCACGCTCTGGTAGAGGAGGAGGAGGAGGAGGAGGAGGAGAGGGGAAGGGGAGAGGGGAGAGGAGAAGACTCTGTGGCATAATGCCAAATCCGATCTGAGGTTGTCGTTTATGAGAGCTAGGGAGTAGAGAGAGAGGAAGGGGATGGAACGATAAGATCCAGACTCTGTGCCGCGCGCGGGTGGTTTTATTTTTGGTCCCGGTTGGTATAAACAACCGGGACTACCGGTTGTTTATACCAACCGGGACTAAAGATAATTAGGGCCTGAATTCGACCCGGTGACTTTTTGAACCGGGACTAAAGATGGTTGGTAACCGGTTGGTGTTACTAACCGGGACTAAAGATCAAATTTTTTTAACCGGTTGGTGTTACTAACCGGTTTTTAATAGAACCGAGACTATTGTGGAATTTGGTGGACCGACCAAAGATGTTTCTCGACCAGTGACCTGACATGTCTGGTTAATTGGATTTCTTCATCCTAAGAGGAAATTGATCAAAAACTGGCTATCAGAAGCAACCTAATTAATTAATCTAGCTGGCCCGGCCGGCCAGGTGGTGCGATTTGATATTTTATCAATGTTCATATATATTAGATAATATTGTTATAATATATGGCTAATTAAGAATGGTACTATTATTGATACTAAAATAAAGTGTATTATTATTGTGGGTGAGGATACTATAAAAGTTGCCATACAAAATGTTGTATGCACGTGCTATATATGTATACGTTTTATAGCATTGTCACTGTGCAGTTTTGTCAAAAATTGCCAGTATTAGTTACTAGTTTCTCAGCTGACAAAGAGATGGACAAACTGATCAACTAGCTAGTAGTAGCAGATTTTACTTTCTGGACTCGTATATACTCCCTCCATTTTAAAATGTTTGACACCGTTAACTTTTTAACACATGTTTAACCGTTCGTTTTATTAAAAAGTTTGTGAAATATGTAAAACTATATGTGTACATTAAAATATATTTAACAATAAATCAAATATATAAAAATAATAAATAATTACTTAAATTTTTTGAATAAGACGAATGGTCAAATACATACTTAAAAAGTCAACGGTGTCAAATATTTTAAAACGGAGGGAGTAGAAGAAAACAAAGTATTAGTAGAGAAAATTAAACCAAAACGTTTACTACATTTTCTACTGTTTAATTGTCGCCGACCATGACGTGCTAGCTTCTACTTGACTACGTGGAGTGTTTACAGCGGGCGAAACCTGCCGTGTTTTGGTTACTTCCTCTTGGTTTCCACACACTTCACTGGCATCGGCAAAGATCTAGCTAACCAGCACATGCCTAAGACTAACCGGTAGACCAAATCACATTTCTCTCCTTACGCTTATTTTGCGGTTGATCCTGACGTGAGCCAAGAAGGAGCTAAGCTAAGCGATAATATCAATGTTGTATCTGTATAACTGTTCTTATATAATACTTCCTCTGTTTTAAAATATTTATCGCAGTTGACTTTTTAGCATATATTTGATCATTCGTCTTATTTAAAAAATTTAAGTAATTATTAATTCTTTTTCTATCATTTGATTCATTGTTAAATATATTTTTATGAAGACATATAATTTTACATATTTCACAAAAGTTTTTGAATAAGACGAACGGTTAAACATGTGCTAAAAAATCAACGGTGTCAAACATTTCGAAACGGAGAGAGTACTACTATACTGTGTACAATTCCAAAGTTTTCAGTTTGACATGTACACTGTAATTGATTTTCGTCTCTGTTCGTAAATATTTATTAGCAGGCACTATTTACATTTCAACTTTGATCGTCCGCCGTTTTTAAGAGAAAATCTATACTTACCATATTATCAAAATGAAGGTGTATTACGCCTGAAATATAAGTAGTAATCTTTCGTTCATCGTAGTCTAAACCATTTAAATTATTAAGCGACCAAAAATTGAAATAGTGATATTCAATAGTGACAAGTATCTCGAAACAAAGAGAGTAACATACATAATCATCCTCTGTAATGGTGTGTAAGCTCAGAATCACTAAGTGGACTTATAATTTTGCTCCAGTTAAATCTGTTGGGCAAATATACCTGGAACCATGGAGAGAAATCAGAGCAAGGGAGATTGGAGAAGGTAGTTTTGGTTTGGTGGCACACAGATCTCCATGTCGGCCTATGCCGCCTATCATCATCATTCCACTAGTAGCAAAACGGACGGCCCTGGAAGCTGGAACAAACAGAAGAAAACAGCAAACAAATTGCCCCTACGCGACGTAGGCAAAGCCAGCCAAGGCAGCCCACCAATTATTGGTGGGCCCCACTAATCAGGGACAGTAAACCGGCCTTTTTTACCCGCCGCACCAACGGCAGGCGGGCGCTCCAGGAGGTTTCGCTTCGCAGTGAAAAAAAAAAGAAAAAAAGAAGAAACGGAAGCGAATATCCTACGGCACTTGGGCTTGGCTATAAAAAGGAGCCGTCTTTGACGCCTGAACGAATTGCTGCGCCGTGCTCGAACAGATCTCGATCTCGATCTCGATCTCCGCACGCACCAAGGCGAAGCCAATTCCACTACCACCGCTCTTCCTTCTTCTCACTCCTTCTCGCGACTGCGGCGAGGGTGAGTCTCCTGTCGTGAGAATTTCGGTCTACCGGCGGCGGCGGCGGCGTTGGGTGTTCTTCGCGTCGTCAGACGTCGGGATCTGGTACGGTTCTCCTTATCTCTGGTTGTTGATAATCTATATGGATCTATGGTTTGTTGATTCGTCTGTATGTGAAAAACATCATCTTGGGTTAGCGAGGGGTGGGTTTCAGATTCTCAGGTCGAGTCTCCAGTACACTGGTTGAGTGCTCGTTTCTAGATCTGTATTTGTTCTGCAACGCGAGGTGTTGTGGTTGATGCGATTCATGCGAAAACTTAATCTGTCATACATACTTGGAAGGGTAAAAAAAGAAAAAAATAATCTCCTTTCTACTGGAGATGCATAGCGTGGGAATTATAATTAGCCTCTTGTTATCTGCTAGCCTGGTTGTTGAGCGAAGCTTTCGGATCCAACCTTTTAATTCAGGGTAGCTTTATGTAGTACAGAAAACTGTGTAACTGTATTGTGTTTCCTGTTACTTTCTTTTAAAACAAGTTCTGGTTGAAAAGCGTAGAAACAGTCTTAACTGGCATGTCTTGTTTTCATGCATATGTGCTGTGCAGTAGATTAATCCTTTTACCTAGAACTTCTCAATTGAGTTTTATGTTAGTTGATTCCAACTAGTAGTTGTCCATGACTGACCTTATTGCATCTTCTTCTTTTGGCAGAATTACTAGACTTCCAATAAGAAGGAAACACCTTAGGGAATGCAGAAAGATGTGCTTGCATGCTAGAGAGCTACCTTGTGAGGGAATTGGCAGGGTAGCAAGCCATATTTCTCCTTCCACAACTCTTCATGACATTGGAACACAAGAGTATATACAGCGCTTGCTCCATGTGCTCTCGCACTATGGGGTTCGACGTGGCAACTCAACCATCTTCTTAGATCACCATCTTGGTGGAGACGGTTGAAGTCACCTATCATTTCTAGGCTCCTGGTTACCACACTTTGAGCTTTGGGATTACTGCTTTCTTTGGCGTGATGGCGGAGCAGAGAGGAAATATGTTGATGAAAAAGTATGAGATGGGGAAATTACTCGGGCAAGGAACCTTTGCCAAGGTTTACCATGCCCGTAACACCGAGACTTCTGAGAGTGTTGCTATCAAGATGATTGATAAAGAGAAGGTTTTGAAAGGCGGGCTCATGGATCAGATCAAACGTGAGATTTCTGTGATGAAGTTGGTGAGGCATCCAAACATTGTGCAGTTATATGAGGTCATGGCTACCAAGACTAAGATATATTTTGTGCTGGAGCACGTCAAAGGTGGAGAGTTGTTCAACAAAGTTCAGAGAGGAAGACTAAAGGAAGATGCAGCAAGGAAGTACTTCCAACAACTGATTTGCGCTGTTGACTTTTGCCACAGCAGGGGTGTTTATCACCGTGATTTGAAGCCAGAAAATCTTCTTCTTGATGAGAACAGCAATCTGAAGGTTTCAGATTTTGGCCTAAGTGCTCTTGCTGATTGCAAAAGACAGGATGGGCTGCTCCACACAACCTGTGGCACACCTGCTTATGTTGCTCCAGAAGTGATCAACAGAAGAGGCTATGACGGTGCTAAGGCTGACATATGGTCTTGTGGAGTGATACTCTTTGTGCTATTGGCCGGCTATCTACCTTTCCATGATAAGAACTTGATGGATATGTATAAGAAGATTGGGAAAGCAGAATTCAAATGTCCAAGTTGGTTTAATACCGATGTTCGAAGGCTCTTGCTCAGGATACTTGATCCTAACCCAAGTACAAGGATCTCAATGGACAAAATCATGGAAAATCCTTGGTTTAGGAAGGGTCTCGATGCAAAGCTGCTCAGATATAATCTACAACCAAAGGATGCAATTCCTGTTGATATGAGCACAGATTTTGACTCCTTCAATAGCGCTCCAACATTGGAGAAGAAGCCGTCCAACTTGAATGCTTTTGATATAATTTCTTTGTCAACTGGACTTGACCTCTCTGGTATGTTTGAGGAGTCTGATAAGAAAGAGTCCAAATTCACATCCACCAGTACAGCTTCAACAATCATATCTAAGATTGAGGATATTGCCAAGGGCTTGCGGTTGAAGCTCACAAAGAAAGATGGTGGACTGTTGAAGATGGAAGGCTCCAAGCCTGGAAGGAAAGGTGTTATGGGCATTGATGCAGAGATATTCGAGGTTACCCCAAACTTTCATCTTGTGGAGCTAAAGAAGACAAATGGTGATACACTTGAATACCGTAAGGTCTTGAACCAAGAGATGAGACCAGCTTTGAAGGACATAGTCTGGGCTTGGCAGGGTGAGCAACCGAAGCAGCAGCAGCAGCCAACGTGCTAAAAAACTTTGACAAGGGCAAGTTTTTTGCAATTTGAGTCGACTTCCAATCGTTTATGTATTTCTGCAGCTTTTGTTCCTCTTGTTATTCATTTTCATTCCTCATGTATTGTTAATATTAATATCGATGCTATCTTCAAATGAGGATTTATTTGAAAAAAATGTTGAGTTTGTTTCTGGATGTTACTGTTTTTGCTCATGGAGAACTGTAATACTGACATTTTTCAT